TCTTCATTCCAGCCCAAAAACCCCAAAGGGAGAGAGAGGCCACCTTAATAATTTAAAGCTTCCGCTGTTGAAACAAAGTGAAACTGAAATTCGTCCAGAGAGATAAAAATCAGTGTCCTCGTATGATAGATTAAGGCAAAAATCTTCGCTGCATCTTCATCACAACCATCAAGCAAGAGTACTTCTTGTTCTGATACTGATATTACTAAGTTCTAAAACATGATAGATGATACAGAGTTTCAGTATTTTTTCTATTAGCTTTCTTTCTTAAAGTAACTTCCTTCTCTGGAGCAGGAACGAGCGTTCCTTCCCTTTGCATACGACTGAGCGCGCTTACTAGATCTCCTATTAAAGCTCAGCCTTCAATGGTCACTGACTCTGAACGGAAGGGACCCCCTTCAAAGCTCTCCCCTTTCCCTTCGTTTTCCCCCCGTCTTTCCTCAAGGGAGGGCCGCCTCTTCGATCTCAGTGACTCCAATCTAAATGACGACCATTGAAAGCTGAGCCTTAATTCTACTTCTGCGCCGCGTCGCGGCAGCACAAAAACAGCCCTGAACTTGTCCCGCACACCTTCAGAATACCGAGATTTGTAAGGCAAGAGCAAGAAATCGGCATGAACGATCTTCTTCACCTTCGGCTTGTTGTTCTTGTCCATCTTCTTCGGCTTTTGACCTTTGATGTTCGCCTTCTCCCCAGTCGTATGCAACATAGACTTAGAAGACGAGGAGCAAATGATCATCGTCATCCTGTCTCAAATGGTCACTCTTTACCATCGGCAAGACAAGACAGTCAGTTGCTGATAGGTGGGTCCTCCCGAAGGATATCAAGAGCCATAGAAGATGAATACATCAACATGTTGCGACTAGTAATCTACTCTAATCGGTATCTGAAGGAAACATCAAGTAGATCATGGCAATTATCATGGTGTCAGGTATATATGCTTCCGGTCTTTGGTATAGCCTGAATTTGATCATAAGGCAAAACAAGAAGAGAATGAGAACCCTTGTGATCAAATTCAGGCTATACCAAAGACCGGAACCATTCAAGGTAGTGTTCATCAACAGAAGCGAGAAACCAGTGACTAAATTCATCAACAGAACCAGTGGTAGTCATGTTCATCAACAGAACCAGTGGTGTCTGTTAGGTATTAATGTTCATCAACAGAAGCGAGAAACGTGGAATGAGTGACTAAATTCCCACTGAGCTACGTCCTTTATCTCCAGAGCCATAAATTCCAGCCGGACGTCCTTGCAATAGGACACTTGTTCTCCGTTATCTTTTCCGCTTCCCCCAATACCATCGTCAAAGCTGCACGACATCATATCAACTACGACATCGTGTTTAGCTGTTTTGTTGTACTTGCTTAAGTTAGGGATTGCACTTCTTGCAAGTTGACCGAGAACAATGTAGGTCCTCGCATAATATCTTCCAACATCTATCCTCTTTCCTTCCCCACCTTGGTGAAACGGTCAACATAAATACGACCAAATTTAAGGTCAACTTAAAACCTTGGTGGAACGGTCAACATAAACACTTGGAAATTATTATAAGGTCGTAGATAGAAGAAAGATCTGCTCCTGTCCTATATGTAGATAGGTAATTAAGGTCGTAGATAGAAGAAAGATCTGCTCCTGTCCTACATGTAGATAGGTAATTAAGGTCGTAGATAGAAGAAAGATCTGCTCCTGTCCTACATGTAGATAGGTAATTAAGGTCGTAGATAGAAGAAAGATCTGCTCCTGTCCTACATGTAGATAGGTCAACTTCCAAGAAGCCTTAATTTTTGAGGAGGTAGCCCTGAAGGTTGACGTTGAAGTTGATGATGATGAAGACGAAACTTTCCTAAGACGTTCACGCCGATCCCTTTTCTTCGCACCCCAACTACTCAGGTAAAATTCTTCGGCTTGCGTATTTTCCTTTTCAAATCTTAAAAAACAAGGTAGTTTTCACTATCCTGGCTGTTGAGTAGGTTCCCTTTCGTTCCTTCCCCGAAATAAATCCCCTTGACTTCAAATAACGGGACTCCACTCCGAATACATCATAGTCCTTCTTCACGTGGGAAGATAGTGATAAACTGGCCTCAAAAATTGGTGGGTCCACGTGCCTTTGAAAAACAGACAGCTGATGAGGTACATTCGCAGCACTTCTCCAGGTACAGAGGCTTCAAAAAGGCCCGCTTCAGGAACCAGGTTTTTGATTCGCCCATTACTTTTGGGGATTAGAAGAAGACAGGGAGTCACTCTTCCGGCGCGACGAAAGAAAAAAAAAGAGCCTTGCATTCGTCATGGGATGAAGCCTGGTCAGTTGTTGACGACGGTGCCGCACGACAACAATTAATCGATCCTAAAGTTTTAGTTTACTCTAGGTAGTACGTTATCATTTTCATATTGCCTTAACTCCTCAACAAATTTGTTCAGCACTCTAGGCGCATTCTCCATATCGTGCTTGAGCACATAGGAATCCGGAAAGTTGTCCTTCAAGAGCGACTGGAATTCCTTGGCTATGAATGGTGTCTATTCCATCTAGGCAGACCATCTTCATGGCTAGTACCCCTTTGTTCTTCCCCTTGAAAACTACGTATAATAATCTTAAAGGTGGGAGCCCCCTCGATGGTCTGAGTGACGGATGCAAAAAACATCATCCATATTGTCCATGATCCACGCACGCTCAGTGTCGCTTCCTACCACGTTCGCCATGCTCAACACAGTGCTTCTGCCAAGAGGAAAAGTCAACTTTTGTAATGCTCGAAACATATCCACCATTTGGTTTTGGAAGTCTGCAGCTGGCCACAGAGGACACGTCGACTTCTTGGTAGTAGTCGTGCTAGTAGTTGTACACTTCTGCTCACTAACATTTTCCCGTCCTTCACCTTGTTCACCACGTGCAAAATACGGATCTTCACTTCTTGTTTTCTTTGGACGAGGACCATCTTCGTCGTTGTCGACAGCACCTGTACCATCGCTCGTAGGAGCAGTACTGGCAGAACTTCTGGACACCTCAGCAATACTATCCTTAGGACGAGGACCATCTTCGTCGTTGATGTGGACAGCACCTGGTGCACCATCGCTCGTAGGAGCAGTACTTTGGAGGTAGGTTGTTGGTGTTCGTCTATCCCGCTTGTTATGGCTGTCCCCCTTAGGAGAGCCATAACAAACGGTAACAAAAGCACCTTTAACCTACCCTTAAGTACTGGCAGAAGAACTTCTGGAGGACACCTCGTCAGCAGTACTAGTATCGTCCTTACCAGACGGGCATCCAAAAAACTTACACAACGTATCAAACTCTTCCGTGTCAGGCTGTAGACCAGCTAGCAGCATCCCAAGTGCGACGCTAATATTCAGAGGAGAAAAAACCACGTTTTCGTCATATGGTTCCTTTCTGTCCTTCAACAGCTGCTCGAGTAGTTGAAAGCCCGGCCCGCCGTTGACCAGTTGGTCGAGCCGCGGCAGACTCCGCGAGGGACGAAAAGTTGTAGGAGTCGATGGCGTGGTCATCTTGTTGTTGTCTATCTTATCGATTTTTGTGTTTACAGCTGTATCATACAGTATGTATCGAAAATCAACGTTGTACTATTGGAGGCAATATTATTGATCGTGTTCTAAGCTGATGCTGAATAAGAACATAAAGTCATAGCGAACGTAAATGAATGTAGCCAAAATTCAATTCTGTCGATATAATTATGTCGATCGCTGTTTGGCTGACCATCAAAAAAAGGCCAAATATTTCGCAGGCCAGAGCTGCAGGCTGTAATAAATCGACATAATTGAAAACACATAAATGAATTTTGGCTCCATAGTGATGATCTTTCGCACTGCCTCGAAGATGAGTTTACGTTCGCTCTGACTTTGTGTTCTTACTCAGCATCAGCTTAGAACATAAAGTCATAGCGAACGTAAACTCATCTTCGAGGCAGTGCGAAAGATCATCATGAAACAACAAAGCCCATTTTTTCTAGAAACAAGCTACAGCGGAGTACTAATCGTAATCTTCACGTCCAGAACCACGGGAACGAAGAAATGTAAAACGAAGAAAAGTACGGGATAGACTAGCTAACCTACTTAAGGAATTCACCACAGTTGCTTATTAGCCTGTAGTACTGTGAAAGGAGTGAATCAGAACAACAAGGATTATATCTATGGTATGTAACCTGAATTAAAACCGACGTCGATCACAAGAACATTAAACGGAGAAAAAGGAAAGCTTCTGGATAACATTCCACTTCCTCCACCAGTTGTACTATTTTTACTTTTTGGGGGTTGCCATGTTGCCATGGAGGAGTTTTCGAGGTTTCTGCAGCACACAGAGCGAGGTCTTCGTCATGTGTAAACATATGGAATGCATGATCAATAAATGCTTACTTATCCCACCACCATCCATGTACTACTTACTCATCTAGTTCCCACCACCAACCAGTTGTAAGCACATGAGCTCAAGAATCAACATTATTTATCAATTCATTACTCACCTAAATAGGCCAACCACCACCCATGAAGTCACTAATATCAACTTACTAGTAGGACAAGTAACACAGATTCGAAAAAACGGCCAGAACATCAGAGCATTCGAGATTGAAGAGTACATCATCATTCAGCACCACGCCACCACATAGAAACTTTCATCATGTGAAAGAATTCTTGGAATACGCAACTATCACATCATAACTTCGCTCCAACTTCTATATTTCAACATACAGCAACAATAAGACTTCCAAGAGTTCGGAGACTTTTGGCTTGTGGCCTGTCTTTGTGGCCGGCCCTGGCTCCAGCATCTTCTTCGCTGAGCATATTATGAGGCAATGACTTTGACAGACAAAGGACAGGGGAAAATAACCCCTTGCCCTTCTACCGATAATATGCCGTCTTATCATGAGCGGATGCCAGATACTTTGGCGATCCTGGGTGATCCGTCACCGCCATCACCTGTCTGTTGATCTTGATCAGATTAGAACACATCGGCGTCGGCATCTGAGAAGCCAAGCAGATGAAACCGCTTCGTGAACAATCTGGGAAGCAGCAGGAACTAGTTGTAGCTTTGATATGTCCATATATTCAATGACGATCAAATTAAAAGCATACATCCATGATTGATGTGGGCGGTTTATCAACATCATAGTCACTCAGCAGCAAAATTAGAATTATCATGACGAAAAGTCCAGAAATGTTCATTCTGTGGGTATTTCGGAAAGCGAAATGACTAAGAAGTGTAAGTAGAAGCAGTAAGATGTATCAGGAAGTTCATTAAATTTAAATGCTGCATCACACGAACAACAAGATCATGAAGCAAATGTAGTCGTGCTGTAAGTGTAGAAGGCCTTCTAGATCAACATTCCATAACCCACTTCAAATTGTGAAGCAGCTCCTTCGATGTGCTTCATCTAGCGCACATGTGTTCGGTTACATACTGTACATTTTCAGTTAAATTACTTATTCTTGTTCTCGCCATGAAAGAACGAACCACAGAGATGCCGCTTTCCGCAAATGCAGGAACGAAAACGCGGATCACACGAGAACCTCCATGACAATAAACCATTTGGAAATGCATTATATTTTACAAATTTTACCTCGTCTTGTCAACTCCCTTCGCTTGTCCTTTCTCCAACCAGAACCATCAACAGGTTCAAAATAAAAATATCAACCCTTTACTGCTTCACAAATCCTTCAACTTCAAAGGCCGTTCTTCTTTTTAAGAAAAGTTTTATTTTGTCAGAGGTCCTTGTCCCGCACTGTGTGCTTCCACATGCACTAATAATTACTAATATTGTAGCACAAAGGCTGAAAACCAACTAATTATGGGGCTTTATTGGTCTTTTCACTCCGGGCCCATAATTACTTACCCATGCGAATATACCTGAAAAAGGTTGCTATGATGATTGGAAGTCCTTCTTGTCTCCAAAAATGAACATCGTCTAAACGCATATTCAACTGCAAAGGCCGTTCTTCCTCTCAACGACATTTCTCCACCTCACGCCGTCTTCCTCCACCCTAACCCTCCACCTCACGTCCCTCCTACTGAGCTTCGCGCTAGTTTGTGATAGAGGCCTTCTTTCGCTAAGAGCGCTTCATGGCTGCCTTGCTCTAGGACAGAACCGTCGCACATTACGATGATTTTGTCGCAGTTTGCTACTGTGGAAAGCCGATGCGCGATTGTCACGGTTGTTGTGGGAATTAGAACCGCATGAATGTGAATCCTAATGGACTACTTTTGAAACTACTCCTATTCTTACGTATTAACGAGAGCAGTGGTCGTCCAGAGAAGAAGTTTCCCAAGTCAGAGCATCAACAAGAGCATGCTCTTCTATCTTGTTCATGATCATGTAAGTAACTATTGAAAATAAGGGAGATACTGAAAGAAGAGGAATGTAGTCAAGACTCTCTTATTTCAGTCAGTAGCTCTTTTATGGACGCCGGTTGTGGACTTGGAGCTAGTGTCGGATGTTTACTACATCGATTACTTACTGCTCTTACATCGAGTAGATCAACAAGAAATTCCCTTATAAGTATTCAATTCTAACAAATAGTGGTCATGGTCTCATAACTTGCTACCTGCACCAGATCCAGTAGTTGTAGGACCAGTTGTAATATCCTCCAAAGCTTTTTGGACTTCGCGTTCCGACACTGCGTCTAAAGCGGATGTTGCCTCGTCCAACATCAGGATGGCGGGGTCGCGCATGAGGGCTCGCGAGGTTTTAGAGGGAGTCGCACAAGTGCTATCACGAAAATGCTGATCGCTCTGCCTTTTTAAGAGAGCAGCACATTTTATAGATACTTACTTTGTTCTTCATACCTATCGCAATCCTCTGCTTCTGTCCGCCTGAGATCTTACTGCCACGTGGCCCCAATCGCTCGTCCCATCCGAGCTGGTTCTGACCACCAATAAAGTCAATATGTGCTTGTCTGACGACGTCCTTAAACCGCTGCTCTTTGTTGCCTTGGTATGAAGTAGGAAGGAGAGGAGGAAGGAGAGGAAGAGGTTGAGGGGAGTTAAATCTTTGGATTTTGCTAGTTCTTCTTGTAGTACCAACATTTTGATTAAGCAAGGTACAACACACCCACATATCTATATTGTTGGAAGGGCTAGACTCTGTAGAGGTAAAAAGAACTAACCGGTTGATATCTATATTTTTTCAATGAACTACTTGTTCTCCTTCTCGCCTACCACATCCATAACATCTTCATTTCGCTTTCAGCATCGATCCCGTAGAAAATATTTTCTCTTGCTGAGAGATTGAACAACACTGGTTCCTGTCCAACGTACCCAATCTTGTTGCGCCATTGCCGAAGGTTAACATCCTTGAGGTGATGTGAAGTGATTAGACTCCAACAAGTAGGATAATCATTATAAGGACGAAAACGATTAAGATCATAAGGAAGATAATCATTAGAGGCGAACAAGAAGATAGAGAAGAGTGATCACATTGTTCATCACAGCAGGAGGTGTTCGACCAAAGTACATGAACATGTATGTTCGCAGGTCATTTTTACTCGATCTTAATATTACCAAACCATAACGACCCCAATCCTTTGTTCTCATCATCCAGCATTTTCAACTCTACTTGTCCTGAACTCGGATCGTAAAAGCGCTGCAAAAGCGACAATATTGTTGACTTCCCGCTTCCACTAGGTCCCGCAAGCGCCAAACTTTGTCCGTGTTGTAGTTCTAGTTCGAGGTAGTTTTTCACTATCCCGACTCGAGTGGGTTGCCCTGCGCCCCCCCCCCCCTTATTTTTGCTTTAAATCAAGAGCGGGAGCGCCACTCAGCACAGTCCACATTATAGGATAGAAGTGAAAAACTACCCTTAATCTAGGTCAACTTTTCGAAGTATTGGTAATGACGCGCGTTGTGGATACGCAAACTCGACATCTTGAAAATCAGCAGACTGGAACTTCTGCTCAAAAGATGAAGCTTGTTTAATATTCTCGCCATCTTGATCTATAGCAATCTTCTTCGCATTCCCCTCATCTGTATTGTCTACTAGAGGGACTCGGTCAACTAAAGCGAAAATGTCATGGGCAGCGGCTACGGCCCGAGCCGTGTTCGGAACGCACGCAGCTGCTTGGCCAGCAGCCATCCCGGCGAAAAAGATACACATCACCGCTGGAGATTAGAGGATAGAATAACGCAAATACTAGAATTCTTGTTCCAGCTCGTCCTACTCGCAATTGGAGTTGAGATTGTTGAGGTCATATCTTATTGTGATTGAACGTCGTTGAGTGAATGAATGAATGTGCCTAACAAGAGGTGTTAAAACGTCTTTTAATTAAGTGGTTGTTTTCAGTTGCAATAGAGAAACACATCACATTGAACGTCGTTAACTAGTACACAGTCAACACAAAGAACATCATCACGATCACAGCATCACAAACATGATCACAGTCCCTCCTTTCATAATTAAACATATCCGTTGGGGAAAGTCCATCTTCTTTCACGAGCTCTGCACCGTACCAGAACGACACTATGAAAATCGCCCCCATCATTCCGTTGGAAAATCCAAACGCCAAGCCTGCCCACATCGACTTTTTACTTTCGTTAGAGCAGCTGGCATGTAGGACGAGTTCTTTGGTACTAGTAGCTACCAAGAACAACGATAACAAATCAAATTCATTGAACTATAAGATGGTAGGTGTTCGTGTTCGTCGCTTACTAGACTAGTAAGTACTCTGTTAGTTCTTATGCCTTTCCGCTTCCTCATGCTAAAGAAAAGCAAGACTGTAACTGCAACAGGAAGAAGAACACGAACACCTCTCCCCCTGTCTCATAGAAGTGATGGTGGTGTTAGACGATAGTGGATATTTCATTTCGCCCCTTAATTTCATTTTTCGCTATTTCATTCGTCATCTGGTTAAACTTTCCCAAGAACGCCTCCTCTGCTCTTAAGGCCTTGACTGTTTTGATGTTCAATACGGCTTCCGCGATGATGTTACCGCTGGCAACGACTTCCGGTGAGTCAGTGGTAACCTCTTCCATAGAACCCATAATGGCGACAGTCATCAGGACCATGGTGGATTAGATGGAGAGACTTCAGTGTCGATGCCAAGAATTATTGATTCTAGTGAAGTTGTAGGACACGTTTTTTCCAACTACTACAACAAATAAGAATGAATTTGAAAAATCCCATCCATTATATTTTGTTTACCACAACCAGACGCAGACCATAAGAGAGCATCAACAGAGGCAGTGCTGCTAAGACGACCAAGGCCAGTTTCCAAGAAGCGACGAAGGCAAACGCCAGACCCAGAGCTATCGACGACAGCATTTCACATCGCGCACCTAGGGCTTCTCCTGTGGATTAGACAGATGAAACCAGTAGAGAATGCTTACGAAGGCTAGGGCAAAAAAAGGACGCGCTAGCGCTAGGCTGGCCCTGGTATGCAGCCTTTTTAGCATTCAAATTGTATCATTTTTATAAAGTTGTGAATGAACCCTAGTTCTTGTAAGTGATCATTTAGTGTGCTTGAAGTAGAACAACTCTTAATTGTATTAATTGAAAGTTCAACACTTCAACGAGTTCAGCATCATCTACCATAAGACAAATATCCCAATTCGCCCGTCTGCTTCTCCAATAACGCAGTAAGACGTCCGGCGCTGTTTTCAGGTTCGTCGAAGAAGGTCATATCTTGCTCCAAAAACGTCTTGAAGACTAAGACACGAGCACGATAGTTTTAGAGATAGACACTCACTATGATTTGGATTTGGAGATAAATAATCAGTGGAAACGCTACTAGGATACATCACACCGGAAAGTGAGAGTGTTGATTGTCTAGCCGTAATAGGTCATCCACGACCCAGCGTAGCCGTAGCAGCCATTGCTCACGGTGAAAACCAGCTGCAAAACAATTGCTAATCCGACGCACTGGAGGGCGAATTCGTTCACCTTCTTCTCCATCTCGGCGGTGTCAGCGGTTAGATGAGGAAGATTTTGATTTACTTGAAGTCGTTGTTACTGTTTTGGAGAAATCACATCAACATTCATCAACATAACTGCAAGTACAAATGCTCCACTGCGTCCATCATGATCCACATCATAGTCGGCTGCATCGACCCGCGAATGAGCGAAAACATGAATCCTAGTGGATAAAACATCAGTTCCCGTTTGGTGTTTAGTTTGAGAAGACGAACCATTGGCACAGTATAGGTCTTGCCGATTTCGGCTATGCGGTCTTGTTCTCTTTCCTCTTCGCTTTTTAACACAACTGCGGGAATCTCAGTAGTTTCCGCTGCTTTTTTCATCTTTTCATCTTCCTCACCCGATCCTCCAGACGTCGCAGATTCTTTGCTTTTATTCCTAGTAGTAGTTGTGACTGCAGTACCATCTCCAGAAGAAGCTCCACCTTTGTTGTTGACCTTAGAAGCATCTTGTTGTTCTTGTTGTTGTTGTTGTACTCCTCTTGATGCAGCTTCTTCACCCATTCCGTCACGCCCACCCACTCCATCTCCTAATGCTACCCCCTCTAACTCCAGCACATTATTTCTCCCCTGCTCTGCCTGTAGCATGTCAAACATCGCCTGCGTCTCAGTCAGCTTGAAGTATCCGCCCTTCAAGGCCACAAGCTCCTCATGACTGCCTTCCTCGAGGATACGACCTCGGTTTAGGAAGAAAATTTTGTCGCAGTTTCGGATCGTAGATAAGCGGTGAGCCACGATGACCACTGTGAGACCACCGACATTCGTGGACCCTCCTCCGACAAGGGCATCTACTGTGTCCTGCACTTCGCGTTCGCTGGCGTATTTTGTTAGAACAGAAGCGACCCGGCCTCTTATGATGAAGTCTTAGTATTATTTGGAAGTGAACTCAAAATCGAATCACCTTCCCTACAGAGATACTGATCGATCATTTGCTATTGCTAAAATGATTTGAAGTTTTTATGAATGAATGTTCATGTTGAACAAAAGATCTCCTTCTAGATGTCCTTTTTCTTGTACTCGGACCAGTTGATGTCATGACTCGAGATCGATCATTTGCTATTGCTAAATTGATTGGAAGTTATGAAGTTCAAGTAAGTTCCTTAAGTCCAAAGCTGACGTGGCTTCATCCAGCAGCAATATGCGTGGTTTCCGGACTAGCGCTCGCGCAATTGCTATCCGCTGTTTCTGCCCGCCTGAGAGTTGAGAACCACCTTGGCCAGGTAGTGTGTCGAGTTTGTCTGGCAGAGACTCTATCAGTTCCCATATTTGTGCTTGCTTACAAGCCGTTATCAAGTCAGCATCGGATACCTTTGATTCTTGAAAAACATGGAAGGTATGACATGATATTTGAAATGGAACGTATGTTCTATGTATCTATTTTACAACCATGATCTATTTCTTTACGAAAGTGCCTCATCCTGACTCATACTCTCCTCCGCAACCTATAATTTTAATTTTACAAGTTTATCAACAAGTACCTTCCTCTCCTCCGCAATCCCATACAACAAATTCTCCCTCAAAGTGCATTGAAAAAGCACTGGTTCTTGCTGCACGTAGCCTATCAGGTCGCTCAGTTCCGTATGCCCAAACTCCTTGACGTTCACCCCATCTATCTCGATCGCGCCATTGGTGACGTCGTAGAAGCGCTCTAGTAGTTGAATGATAGTTATGAAAGGAATAAAAGTGCACTCACACTCAACAAATTGACTAAGATTCAAGTAGGAAAGGAGCTACTTTCTTGAGTGTGAGTGCACTTTTTCCTTCCATAATAGTAGATTTCCCACTACCGGACTCGCCTACGAAAGCGACTTTCGTATTGGCTTGGATCCGAAAATTCACATCCTCTAGGACAGCGACGTCTGGTCGCGTAGGGTACCGGAAAGAAACGGATGAACCGATGATCGCAGCGCCGGAGGTTAGAGGACGATAGAAGAAGGCAGTTGCAGGTCAAATCATCTTCATCCATGTGATCCATGTTGATCATTCGGAAGATGAGTCCCTGTTTATCTTCAACATCTTCATCCAGGAGTACTCGAAAAACTAAGATTATAACCGAGTTGGAGAAATAATGACTTCACAAAGCTCCAACAGAATCCACGTTGATCATTCGGAAGATGAGTCCCTGTTTATCTTCAACATCTTCCAGAAGTACTCAATTTCCAAGTCCAACCCACCACAATTGTTCTTAAACCTCGTCCACCCTCTCCTCCTGTTGCAGCGTCGTCGGAGAGTGCTTTTTTGTTCTTTCTGGCTGGACTCACGCCACCATCTTCGATTGCCGACGTGTAAATCGTTGGCTTTTCACTGCGCAAGATCTTCAGACTCGTCATTAGAAGGAGGGTCTAGATACTTGTTGAAGTAGAGAAGTTCTCTCGTACTTTAAGACGTTGAGCGTAGAAGAAGTTCTTTCGTATTTTGTTTTACAACGACATCAGAAACCTTAATTTCAACGCAGGTTTGGCTTCGGCGTAAGCCTGAATTGCTGGTGCAACCTGACCCAGTCCAAAAGCGCCGATAACCACGTTAAAAATCACTTTCATCACGTCCGCACCACTCAGGCCGCCGCCATCGAGATCATTGTCGCCACGGCCTAAGGTTAGAAGAAAGTGAGGAGAACAAGAGAGGACGTCGTGCAGAAGAAAGTTGTACTTGATGTAGAGTGTAACTGTTATGAAGAAACACTAACACTTTCTATAATTTGAGCTGCTTGACACTACTTCGGTGGCTAGTCTTGGAAAAAATTCAATGACGCATAACTCCGCAATGACCCTCGCCGAATACCAGAAGCAGAGACCATACATCAAGAAGCACGTTGCGTCCACCGACCCTAGTTTTAGAGCTCACCCTAATCCATGTCGAGAAGCGTCCTGCTATACTTTTCGCCTTGAGGGAGCTCTTCAGGATGCTTCCGAAGATGGACAATTAGGGTAAGTAAGCCTTAATAGTTGCGCCCCTACCCGAAGCGCGACTCGTGTCTTCCCTTTCCGTGCCTCGTCTAGGAAAGCACTATACCGACTGAACTCTCGTTTCTCCGCTCCATTGGCTATTGCTTAGCGCTCGTGTATTTTCACCATCGACCATAGTTGAGGGGGTAGAAGTTGGCTCCGTTTCCATTTCCTTCATTAAAGAAAATCCCCGTCAAAGAAGCAGGAGCCTGCAATCCGCCCTTTCATTTCAAAGAAGCAAGACCCCGCTCACTCAGACAGCATGGTCCACGCACATGGGCGGAAAGCGATAATTAAACTAGCCTTAAATTACTGTTTTCACAGCGCCAAAGATCTCATCCGCAACGGCGCCTGACTGCACGTAATACTGAGCCATCCAGGAACTATACCCGGACAATGCCCGCGCAAACAAAACTGTCGTGTAAACGATGACCGGTTGGTTATGAAAGAAGGGCAGAGAGTAGGGCCATGATATGTATTTGTCTTTACTTATAATGAGATGGCAATAGCACTCCTTTGTCTCCTGTTTACCTTTACTAGACCCGATTACCTGGTGGACATTCATTAAACAATGATCATCCTTTGACTTTTACCCAAAGGAAAATCTCAATCTTCGTCGCCAGCACCATAAAGCAAAGTGCAGCAAATCGCTGTTACTTCCGCATTCACCAAAAACCCGAACAGGAAACCAGCGATAAACTGCGCAACGTTCATGATCGCCATGGCCATTTTGCTGCCAAGCGCTTCCTTAATCTTGCGCATGTCCACCATCAAGCGGCTAGGAACTGTCAACGGATCTTTTTCGTCGAACCAACTGCAATCCTGATACATGACGGTCCGAAAGTAGTGCTGCCGCACTCTCTGCAACTGGCGGGCGACAGCCCAATCGAAGGCGGTCGGGGATTAGAAGACAGGATGTGGAGATCATGGATACGAGGATTGAGGAGCTAGACAACTCATCTACTGATGTCATCGTAAATATACAGCCATGCGGTGAGCCAGTTGAGTCCGCTGATGACTCCCCAGATCCAGAGAATCTCTATGATCTTGTCCGCGAACGCTTTCTTCGACTCAGGGTCTCGTGTCGCAGAAACATCAAAGACCTCACCAAGATAGTAAATCATTGCCGGTTGCAGGAAACTGAAATTAGAGTAGAAAAAATGATGGATCGGGAAGATAAGAATCTTGTTGTTGAGAAGGGAGAAGTACTTGGTACTACTACTAGTACTAGCTACGGCGTAATAACGTACTTCACTAGTACTAGAACTAGCTACGGCGTAATACCTGTTACTTACTTGCATCTAGTGTAGTCACTAAGTGCTCGCCTTCACAGCGACTGTCTCCTATCTCTTTCCAGAGTTTGACATGTCAAAACAAGAGGCCCATGCTTAACGAAAAACACTGCGTTGACAGAGCCGAAGATGTAGGCCCATTTTTCCGCAGGCTCCATCCAGTGGAGGAGGTCAGCGAGGCAAGGATTAGAAGAGTAAAAAGATGGAGATCGTGATCTGACTGTCGTTCTTGAGAATCCTCAGTATGCACAGTATAAGAAGTTGTCCGTAGAACTCCCTGATCTTGCGTACTTCTGGAGAACGTTCATCATGTCGCAGGCCAGTTAAATCCTCAATATGATAAACAAGTTGTAAATCCTCAATATGATAAACACAAAGTTGTAGATGAGGTATCAGATAAGCGGAGGTAACTAGGCAGACCTGTATGTATGAACATGCTCCTGAGTAGTACCATGGACATGGTGTACTAGAGTAGAACCATGGAGGAAGTGGTTCTCCTCGAGGAGGACGAGCTACTCCTGGAGGAAGTGGAAATCCTCCTGAACAACACGCAGTTACGAATCCCTGAAGCGGCCTTAACAATGTCGCTGGTATCTTCATCCTGATAGCGGTCGTGATCGCCTTTAGCGGTCGTGGATGGCTCCGCTTTCATCGTGATGTCCTCCATTTCGCGTCCTGGAGACACAGACATAGTGCCGCTTGGATTTGGATTTGCATTTCAGAAAAAGTTTCTTTTTTTTTTGTATCCTGGGGCTACTGAAAGAGCGGCCTCAGCTTTATCCAGTTCGCAAACCGGCGGCAGGCGGGTTCCTGGCCACCACATGGGGAACGATACGATTCGCAAGCATCAGACAAGTGAAAGACAGCATGAAGGACTAGCCACATCAAGGAACTAAGAAGAAAAGCTGTGAAGGATCAAATTTTTTGCTGGTGTCTTGTCTACCAGTTAAGTCGCCTTAGAATATAGACTTGTCGTGGGTTATCATGCTTGTTAGATCACGACCATGATCCATCATTTTCATCAATCAGGACGGATATACGTATGCCGACTTTGGAGAAGTTAGTTAGTATATGAGTACTTAGGAGAACTAGAGAACTAGACTAGAAGCACGACTCTCATCTTCATCTTAGTCAAAAGGAATAGTTACGAGCAAAAGCAAAACATTCCTATTCACCAAGATGAAATTCAACGGAGGGCACAAAAAGTGGGGGGGGTCGGAGCGACACCCTCTATGCCTTGGGTCTCTCAACCGAAGTCTCTCCACTGGCGAATAGAAATGTTTAGAGCTACCAACGTGCATCCCTGAGACCATCCCTGGATCCATTTGTTTCCCTCTTGAAAATCAGGCAGGGATCGATGATGTTGAGGATGCTCGCTTGGTAGCCTTAATATGTGTTGGGTCTCTCAACCGAAGTCTCTCCACTGGCGAATAGAAATGTCATCTTCTCGCTGTTCATCCTTTTTGCTTTTCAACTTTCGACTGCAGCATGCTCAGACATCCGATAAGAGGACCTTTCTCAACCGAGGACGAAGAATCTGACTAGTAGACTTCCCCCCTCATGCGTCCACCAATTTTTAATCTTGCAACCGTCTTGATGTCGCGCATGAATCTGCCTTCTGTTGTGTCTATAATTCAGAGCAATTTGATTCACTTCATGATCATGCGTAGATCAGAATTGACCTTGCTACATCCTTAGATTACTTTTCTATAAGGAGCGGCGCATCGATATCAGTCAAACTCAACGATCGGAGTCATCTATGCAGTTAGTGATGTGAAATGAATTGACAAAGCTACATTGGTCTTACCTAATCAATTGGTCCTCTTGGTCAATTGGACCTCATGTGTCTAGATATCAGATTGCAGAAACGGTTGTTCATTGTAAGGAAAGAAGACAGGTCTTGCTCATCACCAACACCAGACTGGTTATTGGTATGTTGGAGAACATTTGCTTCATATTTAGCTTGTTTAAATGTACTATTCTATTGCTGGGTTTTCTATTTGCAAGTATGCCCGTTCATTTTTTCTCTACTACTCATACTATACAATGCATTCATTTGCGCATGTCGTCAATGCATTCATTTGCGCGCGTCGTCAATTTCTCTAGTAAACCTCCGCCCCGACGGGTACGTGCTAAATTTTTCTCATACTACATACATACGTGGTCGACGTGGAAGAACTAGTTCTACAACATTTAATCGCTTGTCTGAAATCTTGTCAAATACAAGGAGAACTTCCCCGTAATGTTCGCTGAAGATGTCAAATAATGTAGTGAACATGTTGCTGATTGTGGTTCATTTAAGAAAGCTACACTTGTCGTGATCAGTCATCTGTCACACAACTGGTGAGGTGGTTCATTTTCATAACATGTGGTCAAAGACAGAGCACTGTTCTAAATAAGTGAAGATATTACTGTAGGATTGGCATGCCAACATCAAGGTCTCTCTTCATCAATATAGCAACGAACCATCCTCTGCTACTGCTCAAGACTTCCTTTAGTACCCCAGTGTCTTCGCCATTGCGCCAGCTAACTTACGGATTTCCATGTCGTGCAATTTCGCTTGATGATTCAAACGGCAAACGGAATCCTTTTCTTCGGCCACTTTTGAGGGTTGAGGTTAAGGTGGTTTTCAGGGTTGAGGGTGAGTGTGATTGGTGAACGCCGAGCAAAGGAGAATGAACGACTTCTTGTTAGTACTGAATAATAAAGCTACTTACGCCGGCGAAAACAGACTCCTGCTCTTGCTTCATGCTGTGAGGTCAGAAAAACAAGTAAAAAACATAGTTCGTTGTACGTCGTCTCTCTGCGTATTTCCTCTTCGATCTTTCTCTTCGAAGAGCCTCCTGCGCTAATTTCAGGACTGCTTCACTAGAGGCTCTCTTCGACGCCATCCTGGCCGCTTGTTCTATGTTCATCGTGGAATTGCCCATTATAGAAGGCCCTCCACCAATGTTGTTCGTGGTGAGATTAGAGGAAGCAGTCTCGGGAGTAGAAGCAAGATTTTTATTGCAACAGAGAGAGAATGGAAAAGCCGCACTTTGAATGAAGTTGACGTGCGGCTACATGCAGAATGACCTGTTACCCCAAGCCGCACGTGGCAAATAAGATGACGAGAGAGAAGAGACGAGTAAGCCAGTCGTCCGCGGCTGCGTCGTCTGCTAAAAAAATCATTGAGCACAACAAGTAGAAGTAGTGATAAATTACTGTGTCAACCGATTCTTTACGAAATTTTGGTTTGATTTGTTCAAAAACAACATCGAGTACTTAGCAATAGCACGACTAGCACTCTCATAACACTCAGTGTTGTGCTGGTCTGCGCAGAGGGTAACACTGTAGAGGAGAACGTAGATGCTCCGCCACCTACAGAAAAAGTTGACGCGCCACCATTCACGGAAAACATACTAGATGCTCCATGTTCGATTTCGACCTGAAAGCAAATAAAGTAAGATCATAAACACTGAAAGCCTATAAGTATTGCTTCGTGGGATAAACCTAGGGTTTAGAGGTAAAACTAACCGGTTGTTTTTTTAGTGCTTTGAGCGCCGCTGGACCTAAACCTCGACCCTATAAGAAGGGAAGAAGCCAATCAAGATTTGCAGCACAACCTCGCATTTATATAAAGGGGGAAAAAATTCACTTTCCATCAGCCTATAAGTAATATTAAAACACTTAAAGTATAAGAGGAAAATCAAGTAGTCCATTCCACAAGAATATAAATACCTCCTTATGCATCAATTGATTCTCCAGATAGCGTATTCGGTGCCCCATGTCCCTAACTTGGTTCTTCGTCTCCAAATTTTCAGCGTAGAGTGCTCTCTTGCCCACGTTAGTTGCTTTCGCCTTATAAAATTCGAGGTCTAGCTGTAGATGGCGTATTTCCATCAGCAGATCTTCTCTCGTATATGTCGGAAGCAATACGTTCCAAAACTCGCTAGGCTTCAAGGCGTTCGCTCTCAGGGGAGGATTAGAGATTCATCCGTACGAAATAATCTTGCTTGCCTGTGCTTGAAGATGAATCAGCGAATCAAAAGTACGCTCGTCTGTCATGACATTTTGTACTAAACGTTCATGTAGTTGTCCACATCAAGGAACAACTAGAACTAGAAGACTTAATACAATGATACAAAAATGGGGAGATATCAATCAATCAATCAAGCAGTTTGCCTCCACAGGGCGCCGACCTCCCCGCAGCTGCGACCGCCGCACCTCTACGTGAGGACATATTTAAATTTAAGTTTGACCGAACCTGCTTCAACAACCATAATATTCCTTGTCGCAGTCGACATTTTCTCGGTTGCGAACCTCTGATAATCCGCTCTCCTTTGATCCGACAATTGCGCATGTAGCCATGATATCTCGTTCTTTAATTGAGTTACCTGGTCGTGTGGTTATAATGGTTTGCCTGAATGGCTCTGGTATTCCTATTTGGTAACCTGATTTGGATCATAAGGAAAACAAGAAGGGAATCCTTGTGATCCAATTCAGGCTATACCAAATACCAGACCCATACACTGTTGTACTTGGATCATTTGTTGCACAGGTATCTAGTCACATCCAAAACAGCACGACGACGCCATCAAGTCAACAAGGGCTGTTACCAGCACAGCTTCGTCATTATCCCATTTTGGGAAGGTGACGCCATCGAAAAACATTGATCCTGTTCCTGAAGTGATCGTCGGCAGCCTTATCGGGTCTTAGAGCAGGTGGGGAGTTCTTTACTCCGACCCATCCTGACCACGCGAGTTGTAATAATTCCAATAGTTTTTACAAAGTCTTGCCCTACACCTACTTGCACTCTAGACTTTGGTATCAAAACTACGTACCAACCCCCGAACAAGTACAAAGAGAACGAGCAGAAGAATCATTCAAGAAGAACAAGATACAAGTGCATCATAATTTTCAGGACTTTTTTTCGGTGATCTGCCTCCCATTTGCTCCAGCAGCCAAGATCTTGCGATGAGAAACTTGCAGGCCTCCACAAAGTCCTCTATGCCCATGTTTTTTGCTGGCGGATATATCTTCTTGAAGTGATGGGCTATTCCCTTTGTATCCAGGTAGACTCCAGCCGTCAAAAAGGTCGTGACGTTGCGGACTACTTCCTGCAGCACGAACACTTGCATGATACCTGTAGTGAGGTTGGAGATGTAGTAGATGCTGATAAAGACTTGCATAGGTATAGTATTGTTGGAAGGGCTACACGCTAGAGGTAAAAACGAACCGGTTGTTTTATTTAGTGCTTTGAGCGCCGCTGGACCTAAACCTCGACCCCATAGGTATAGTATGTATTGTATAGTGTAAGGGGAATGGATATAGTGTAAGAAGATGTCAGTAGAAGTCCCTGATCTTTTGTTCTTGTTGAGAAAGTTCATGTACGATAGTGATACCCGAGTCGAAGTTGCAGTAGATGATGATGAGTTGTAGTAAGTACTTACCAGACTGAATGACTCAATGTAATTGAGGTCGATAAAGATGAACTACACAAGAACTAAAAGGAAGTAGTCGTAACTAAACCTTCCTTAGGAAGTGGTCGTTGACCTAGTTCTTGCAGAGGACCCAGACTACTTTAACTTTACTCACCAAAAACAAACAGGATACGCATCAAAGCCAACATCAATTTCAGAAGTACCATCCCCTTCACTATCCATTAGTCTGAATTCCGCTTCTACATTCTTGGCAAAGTCCTGTCCGAATATCGCTTGTTCTAGCCATTCTGGCATGCCGTCTCCGATTTTTTCTCTGAGCGCGTAAACGTTTTTTACGTCTTCCTCTAGCCATTGGAAGGTTTCTGATGTGTTGAGTTGTGAGTGTTCTTGGACAGAAGTTAGATAGAAGTTAGTTTGTTGTGTTTGTCTTAATAGTGTATGCTGAGAGATAGAAGGAGTGGGATAGTGATAGAAGGAGAGCTACTAGGTTGACGTTGTTCTTATCATTGAATAGCTAGAAGTAGAACTACTTGGTAACAACATTACACCAACTTCTACTTCTTGGAAAGGCTTTAGGTACAACCAGGACGAGGTGATACTCATCAGTACCAGTACTGCTAGGACTAGCAACCAAAGACGTCTTTCCATTAAGTCAAGAGGAATACCAATCGCTTCTTTTTTTTCCAGCACCCCACTTACTCGAAACTGTGCCAGGACGTTCTTACTTGGGTATTCTTTTAGACTGCCTTTGTTAGACGAGCGCACCCTTTTCCATCTTGAGACGCATTTTCTTGGTGGCCCTTTCTCTTAAATTATGGGACAGCTTGAACTTCAAGTGATTCAAGATTGAAGATACAATTACAACTTCCAGAGAACGACAACGAGCTTCAAGTGATTCAAGATTGAAGATACAAAGTACGACTTCCTTCCAGAGAACCACGAAGATGGACTTTATAATCAAAAAATAAAATACAATTACAACTTCCAGAACGAAGCCTTAACTTTGATTATCTGGAGTTTTGGATCCACGCGTGGCTTCGGATAGTGGATTTTATCGCTAGGGTTCAGCTTTTTCCCGGGTAGTGGCATCATACTCGTTCGAAATGGTACTATCTTCTTGTTCTCTGGAGACTTGTTTCGAGTGACGCCTGATGGAGAGAGCAGCTAGTGGAAGAGACATATGTGCTGGAGGATGACAAGGAGAATGAAGCAACGATCATGTGGGGAAAAACGGAAAAGAATGTAGGATGAAGTTCGTAGCAATGTTGGTTAACGTTAATGCATAAAGAGAACAATGTGGGTTAATGCTCATGACGAGTGTCGATGTGTTGCTCTTACCTACGTCGAATAGTTCGGATGTAGAGGTTTTGTCAACCTCAATGTTTTGCTAGTACTGCCTCTGGTTCTACTGTCGTCCTTACGAAAACAAGTAGCAGAAATACTTTTCCCATTTGGCGTTGGTCGGTTATTCTTTGCTGCACTGCTACTCGATCCGCCTATTTGCTCACTTTTTACCAGCACAGGAGCGGGAGGGGCTATATTATTAGAGCTACCACGTCGCCGCATCTTTGAGCCCATCCCTGGTCCCTTTTCCCCTTGAAAAAGAAGCCAAGGATGCATGGTGTCCTCTGACTGTAGAGGATGCGTCACTCAGCAGCACTAGCCTTAATACTACTCGCTTTCTTACTTTTCTCTGGCGAGTTACTTATTCCTCCGGTTGTATTCGGAGTTCCTCCTTTTGATGTGGTAGTTGGATGACCACCACCACCGCCAGCTCTACTTGATGAAGAACCTCCAGCCTCTCCTGTAGTAGGCTTCCTTGAAGCAGGTCCACTACTGGCTGATCTAGCACCAGCTGCGCCACTTGTCGAAGCTGCTGGTCCTTTTGCACGTGGGCCACCGGCTGGATTCGGCCCAGCCCCGGCACCACCGGCTGGATCAGGATTGAAGTTTTCAGCTGAACGAGAAGCCGGATCGGCAGCACTTGCCGCTGACGAAACGGCTACAACTGATGCTGCGAACCCAGCTGAAGAATCAGCTGATTTGTTCGGGTCCTTATTCCGGTCCTGTTCCCCCTTCAGGATGTCGGCAACAGCTCCATCCAGGAGTTTTGTCGCACTCTGGACCGCCACCTGCGCAACATGGTCTTTTTTCTCGACGTCGGAACTGCTCTGGTAATGAAGGTTGTGCTGTAGAAGAACTTGTAGTTCATGTCATGTCATGTCATCGTGCCTCGTTTTACGTCTTGACTAACGATAATATTGAGGTGATATTTTTACGTTTAACAATCTTCTGAAGATAAGTCGATGTTTGTCTCAGAAAAAAAACTGCACTCTGTAAACGTGGCACTACAAATGGAACTGATTTAGATTTTGATTCTAGAAGTGTTGAACATCAAGATCTTTTGGTGAAAAAGCCCTCTCCTCCAGCTTCACCTACCGCTAAAGACGAAGAGGAAGACCTCCATTCATTTCCTGTGCTACTGCAGAAAACCTGAATGTATTCCTGCCTTAAGAATATGAAGGTATCGCGTCAATGTCGCTCATGCTGCCTCCTTGCTGGATTACATGAGCCCTTAGTGCCAAATACTTTGCAAAACTGAGGAATTCATCTCCTGTGACGGATCCTTTGCCATGGAAATAGCGATAGAAAGCTTTATTCTGCGACCAAATCGGTTCCCCACCTTCCGTCAGATGAGCATTCACCTTCGAAACAACGGCAACTGCTGACTCGGTAGGCAGAGCGTCTGGAGTACGTTGATGGAGAACGAGGGTGGATGTGTCTATGAGTCTACCGATGGATCGTCGAGTTGAAAGTGAAAGAGCATTTATTTTGTTCATTTCAAAACAGACTCCTGTAGAAATCATGTCCTCGTCGCGCGCACAATTATAGTCGTGGAGCCAACTACTAGAACCAGTGCTGACGATGCGAATTATCTATTCGGCAAAGTGCCTAATATTTTGTTCTGCCCTGACAAAGACAATCTATATCTAGTATGAAAAAATAAATTAGTTACTAACAAAAAAAACTCAAAAATACCCTTTCCATCCGCATGTTCAGCGAAGTCTTGCTCTATCGAGTATTCGAAGTCTACCGTCAATTGCTCCTCAAACCATGCTGGTAAAAGCTTTGCTGTATTTCCTGCTTTCGTTAGAAGAGCTTGCTAGGATAGGATAGGATAGGATAGGATAGGATAGGATAGGGTGCCTGCTTTCGTTAGAAGAGACAAATGACGAGGTTCCTAGCTTGAAGAGTTTGCTAGTAGGATAGGATAGGATACTAGCTTGAAGAGTTTGCTAGGATAGGACAGGATATCTCTCCTAATACGATCAGGTGCCTCGACAGTTTAGTTTCTATTTGATGAGAAGTAGCGGTGTCATTTTGAAGCTCTTGTCGTGGTCATACTATGTTGTATCACTTCATCTTCCAGCAGGTAGTAGTATAATACTAAGTAAGTTGAAGCTCTAGTAGTGGTTGTAAGCACAAACGGTATCTTCATTTGAACAAGTTCTTGTCGCCGTAGTACTAGTAGATAGTAGCACTACTGCATGTCATGCCAATTGTGTGTCCTTTTCATCTGTAGTTAACTGTAGTTCTTGAACCATTTTTATGACCTTTTCTCATAAAGCGACCTCTTCTTCCAAAGAGTGCAGCAGCGCTGTGGCCTCCTCAGCATTGCTTGGTTTTACGGTATCCACCATCGAAATGGTTCCTCTCGGTACTGGTGCGTCGTGGGTGACAACTCCGTGAAACTTTGTGTTTGGCGTGAATCAATCTTCTCTTCTATTTTCTAAAATACAACAACCTAGCTGTGCCCTGTAGTCAGAACCACGAAGAATGTGCAGAAAGAAATGAGGTCGAAGAAACAAGCGAGGTCGGTCGAAGAAAGAGAAGATGAGATCAAGGAAATAGAAGACATCACTGAAGAAGAAGACAGATCGTTATCGTATGGATCAACAAGACGAGAGCAACAGAAGGATGTGGTAGTGGTTGGAATAGATGCGTGCTTACTAAAACAGAGCTCATAACAGGTGAAGTGTCTGAACATCTCCAATGGTGAATTTCGCTAGTCAATCATGCCAGGAGTGGGGTCAACAAGGGTGGGAGATCACGAACCTTCTTTTTTAGAACCGACAGACGATTCTCTCTTCTTGTTCTCCTACCGCTTCACAACATTAATGTTGAAAATATTTTCTATCGTTCGAGATGTATGTTGACAATCAATCTGGAGCTGGCGTCTACCGATTCATAACATGACTGTTTGAATAAGCTAGCACTCCTGGTTCGAGGAATGTTGTTGACCTAGTATCTCACCTCGAGGAGCGTCGAAGTTCTTTCTGTAATTATAAATATTGCGATGTAGTGGCCACAGTCACTCGAAGGAAGGATCCGTATACGTAGTTGACCGATGCATGGTGGAGGAAAATGCTAGACCCGAAGACCGAAGATGGAGATCATCTCCTGTTGCTCCTGCAATCACGACAAAGAGCAGCTAATGAGAAGCGAGCTCAGGTAGAGCAATAAGAACTGGCTTTCACGGGTGCCAAGTCCCAGCTGCGCGGCCTATAATTTTTTCTTCACGTGTTGTATGTATAAGTAATTGTAGTCAATTTGATGTTGTGATAATGTTGAGAGTCAGATGAATGGCTTTCGAAGAAAGCGGCAATGAGTCCTCCATTCATTTGAATTAATCAGCATGCAGCAGAGGATCTTTACTTATGAAAAGAATCAGAAGAGGAAGTGCATCGTGTGCGAGACATTTGGTCGTTAGACCAATCTCGTAGAATTATATCCTACTTGAAAACTCAGTTTCTTCTCAACGTAAGTAAATCATTAACCGCTGGAGCAGTGTCCTATAATCTTCACCTTCATCCCTGTTTTTTCAAAAAAAATCAACGAACAATCTTCTAATTCTTGTTGCATGTACATGTGTTAGTACGTCGTGATGATAAATTTCTTTCTTCCAATTACTTACACCTACGAACGTCGATATGGATTCATTTGGAAGATACAACCATTGCCCATGATGATATGCGAAAAAAGAAATTGACTTCATTTCCACCTCGTCACCCCCATCGACCTCAGCAGGAGGACAATAAGCATTTTTACGAGTCCAGCACTTGAATAGATAAGCACAGTATTCGAAAAACTGAAAAAATAAGCGAGTACAAGAATTAAGAGAGTCCTTTTGTGTGAGCACCTAGACGTCCGCCTGTCGTGTGAGTATCTAAAAGATGGCAATGACTTCTTAAATACTAGAGGTCTGGTTCTAGAGTCTATCAGTATCTATTCTCGAGAGGTCTACTTGAGGCCTTCAAGAGTCTCTCAATATCTTCGAGAGGTCTTGAGGTCCTCGAGACTCTGTTGTCGGTACCCTTGAGAGGCCCACCTCCAGTTCCAGAAGAGGTCTGTAGTTATAAAGTTCAATCTCCTTCCATGATCAATCATAGGACAGCGACGGACCTTCGATAAAAAGCTACTTAATTACCTTCCACAAATCGATTTGTACAAGTTATTTATTAATTCTTCTTTTCGTTTTTCCTAGGTAGCACGTCAATAAAAATTCTATTCAGTCTACTTATCTACAACATTCAGTCTATACAACCTGAAGTCTGTGTGCAACCTGCAGTCTATACAACATGAACATGGTACTTCAAGTTATATTACAAGTACAACCGACAATATCATCTGGATCAACTAATTCGTATTTTTCTAATACATACTATTAACCGCGCATCCGTATTGAAAGGAAGATCATAGGGTGCCTCGACTTCAAGAACATCAATTTTCATCCCAAAAATCACGAGAAATCTACTGAACAGAAAATTAGTTTGACTTCATCTATGCAAATAATGCAGCTATCGCTAAAAATCTTCTTCTTCATGAGCAAGCGTTTTCCGCAACGAGCATCAATATTTACTTCGAACTAAGTTCTGAACTTCAGCAACATAATTGTAACTACTCCGACTACAACTCCCAAGAACCCGTCTTCATAAATCAGAACAAGAAAATTTATTAGACCACCAGGACTTGTAAGTAGTTACAAACTGACAAGTAGTACAAGAAGGAACCTACTTGTACTTGCTGACCTTCATAATTCATTTCACAACACTAACTCTTAGTGGTTTCGTTTTTCATAGCAATACCACTTATTTTAGTCATTGGCTATATGTTGCGCCTAGTTTTCGGACACTTTCCCGGACGAGAATCGATGCTAGTGTGATCAATCACGAGCGGGAATTGTTGGGCCACAAGACGAAAGCACACGGCGAAGGCTTGGCAAGTTTCTCGCGGAGAAACGTTAAGCGAAGCTCCTGCTTGATGCAATTGGCCGCACAGTCTGAGAGACATGGCCTCTGGCTGGTTTGATCTCTTCTCTGTCTGTGGAAGATATTCGCGGTAGGGTTGCAAAGAAGTCTCTGCTGTTTCGTGGGGTTTCATGCTGGCGAACGTTTCACGATCACATGCTCACCATCTACCGAAATATCTTCGCGCCTGCTGTGCTATAGTGTCGCCCCGTATCTCCGTGGACCCGGCTACAGCTATCGCTATGGGCGCGAGCTGTATCTCCTATCAATCTGGAAACGCTGGAGGCCCTTTGCCCGTTGAGCATTGGCTTGGGAACTGTGCCCATTCATTCCAGACCATGGGCCTCCCTGAGGCCTTTCCGGTGGTGCTTTGTCCTTGAATGGGCTGAGTGAGGGAATTGGGGCAACGCATGACAGAGGAGAGAAACCAGAGGCAGCCGCGCGACGGTGAACCCGTCAGGCGCTCGGACGGTGCTGCTCCGGATCAGATTGCTAGAGGTGATAGACCACAGGCGCCCGCCCCGGCTATGGCCGGGGCGTTTGGAATGGCGCCCATGTTTTACCGTTTCCGCTTGGCGATCTTGGTCATTTCAGTGGGCTTAATCCTTTGGACTTTGGTGGACCTTGGTCGGATCTCATTCATGGCCACCTTGAATAGAAATGCGAATCCCTATAAACAATAACCAATACGACAAAACGGCAGCAAGATGATGACAAGTACACTTTTCGAAAATGCAAAAAGCGACGTCAAATAAACAACACATTTGTTGACTACAAAAGACACACCTTGACGGCGACATCGATGAACCAGAATCTTTATCCGTTAAGTGCTAGATATCGAAATCGCCCCCCCACCTTTCCCCACAACCCTCCCCGCCTAGCTACAGCTTCTGTTATAACCATTCTTAGCTACCCTTCGCAGTTACCGACTACTTCTGCTTCACTGCCTACCGCCACTCCCCTCCCTACTTCTGCTCCACCACCTACTCCTGCTCCACCACCTACCTCCACTCTACCCCTCCCTACTTCTGCTCCACTACCTACTTCTGCTCCACCACCTACCTCCACTCCACCCCTCCCTACTTCTGCTCCACTACCTATTTCTGCTCCCCTCCCTACCTGCACTCCACTACCTCCACTCCACCCCGCCTCCCTACTTCTGCTCCACTACCTACTTCTGCTCCAGCACCTACTTCTGCTCAACATCATCAGCCTCCACCACCGCAAGATCTCCAGCAACCTCCACCACCGCAAGATCTTCATCTAGTTCCACCACCAAGATCTTCATCAACCTCCACGAAGATCATGTCCACTAGGGGAATTGGCGCGAGCCTGTTCTTAGAGGTGTAAGGAATCTTCAGCGTCAGGAAGCCAAGTGATTGTATCAAAGAGCAACGAAATGCTATGACCACATTGCACTAGTAGTAGATATCCTTATCCTTTTGGAGAGCAGTAGTCAATAGATGTCACGACGTGGTGCTGAGCACGGGTAGTTCTCCTTCTCGAGTAGTTATTCTTATTCACTAGCTAAAAGTAAAAATAGATCATGAGAATAGCAATTGCAATAGTCCTTTCTGAAAAAAAAACTTCATCTGCTAGTATCTATGAAGATTTCCACCCTGTTCGCTCTAGCAGCTTATTTGCCTAGTACTACTTCTACATCTTCTACATCTAGTTGTACCCTGAGACACATGTGTCTCATGTCCATAAACCCTCCCTGGCCCTCATGCTCCTGCCCATCTCATGATTGACACTTCTATATTAAATGCATACTGCGACACACGCTGAGCAATGTTTTCCCAGCCTTAATCTAAGATTCCTCTTCATCGGGTTCCGGCGTTCGGCTTCGGAGAGGAATGAGGAGGCCGCAGGCGCCATGCCACAGTTGAAGACACAACCGAGGAGCGCGCGGCCCGGTTGCATATTCTCCTTTATTTCCTCTGGTGTTGCTGGCGTCGACGTCGAGACCACTGGAGGGGCCGGCTGTTGTACTGGTGCAGGTGGTGCTTCTGCTTGTTCTTCTCCTTGTCCTTCTTCGTCCTCACCATATGCCGGCACCGCCGCCGCCCCTCCGTCAGCCTCTGCATCCTCTGTCGCTTTCGCCATCCCCTCCTCCGCATTTGTCAGCCCCGCCGCCTCTCTCTCTGGTGCTTCCTCCTCCCCTTCCTTTGTCTCTGGCTCTCCCTTCTCCTCTTCCTCTCCCTCCTCCTCTTGCTTGGCCGCCTCCTTGGCCTCTTCGTTTTTCTCTTCCCCTGCCGGATCCGCCGCCACCTCGTCCTTTGCCGCCTCCTTGGCCTCTTTCTTTGCCAGATCCGCCGCCTCTTCCTTTGCCGCCTCCTTGGCGTCTTCCCCTGCCGGGTCCGCCGCCTCTTTCTTTGCCGCCTCCTTGGCGTCTTCCCCTGCCGGATCCGCCGCCTCGTTCTTTGCCGCCTCCTTGGCGCCTTCCCCTGCCGGATCCGCCGCCTCGTTCTTTGCCGCCTCCTTGGCGTCTTCCCCTGCCGGATCCGCCGCCTCGTTCTTTGCCGCCTCCTTGGCGTCTTCCCCTGCCGGATCCGCCGCCTCGTTCTTTGCCGCCTCCTTGGCGTCTTCCCCTGCCGGATCCGCCGCCTCGTTCTTTGCCGCCTCCTTGGCGTCTTCCCCTGCCGGATCCGCCGCCTCGTTCTTTGCCGCCTCCTTGGCGTCTTCCCCTGCCGGATCCGCCGCCTCGTTCTTTGCCGCCTCCTTGGCGTCTTCCCCTGCCGGATCCGCCGCCTCGTTCTTTGCCGCCTCCTTGGCGTCTTCCCCTGCCGGATCCGCCGCCTCTTTCTTTGCCGCCTCCTTGGCGTCTTCCCCTGCCGGATCCGCCGCCTCGTTCTTTGCCGCCTCCTTGGCGTCTTCCCCTGCCGGATCCGCCGCCTCTTTCTTTGCCGCCTCCTTGGCGTCTTCCCCTGCCGGATCCGCCGCCTCGTTCTTTGCCGCCTCCTTGGCGTCTTCCCCTGCCGGATCCGCCGCCTCTTTCTTTGCCGCCTCCTTGGCGTCTTCCCCTGCCGGATCCGCCGCCTCGTTCTTTGCCGCCTCCTTGGCGTCTTCCCCTGCCGGATCCGCCGCCTCTTTCTTTGCCGCCTCCTTGGCGTCTTCCCCTGCCGGATCCGCCGCCTCGTTCTTTGCCGCCTCCTTGGCGTCTTCCCCTGCCGGATCCGCCGCCTCTTTCTTTGCCGCCTCCTTGGCGTCTTCCCCTGCCGGATCCGCCGCCTCGTTCTTTGCCGCCTCCTTGGCGTCTTCCCCTGCCGGATCCGCCGCCTCTTTCTTTGCCGCCTCCTTGGCGTCTTCCCCTGCCGGATCCGCCGCCTCGTTCTTTGCCGCCTCCTTGGCGTCTTCCCCTGCCGGATCCGCCGCCTCTTTCTTTGCCGCCTCCTTGGCGTCTTCCCCTGCCGGATCCGCCGCCTCGTTCTTTGCCGCCTCCTTGGCGTCTTCCCCTGCCGGATCCGCCGCCTCTTTCTTTGCCGCCTCCTTGGCGTCTTCCCCTGCCGGATCCGCCGCCTCGTTCTTTGCCGCCTCCTTGGCGTCTTCCCCTGCCGGATCCGCCGCCTCTTTCTTTGCCGCCTCCTTGGCGTCTTCCCCTGCCGGATCCGCCGCCTCGTTCTTTGCCGCCTCCTTGGCGTCTTCCCCTGCCGGATCCGCCGCCTCTTTCTTTGCCGCCTCCTTGGCGTCTTCCCCTGCCGGATCCGCCGCCTCGTTCTTTGCCGCCTCCTTGGCGTCTTCCCCTGCCGGATCCGCCGCCTCTTTCTTTGCCGCCTCCTTGGCGTCTTCCCCTGCCGGATCCGCCGCCGCCTCTTCCTTTGCCGCCTCCTTGGCGTCTTCCCCTGCCGGATCCGCCGCCTCTTCCTTTGCCGCTACCGCCGCCGCCTCATCCCCTGCCCAATCCGCCACCGCCTTAGCCTTCTCCCCTTCCTTTGCCGGTCCCGGTTCCGCCTCTTCCTTCTTCTCTTCCTTTGCCGGTTCCGCTGCCGCCTCCTCCTTCTTCTCTTCCTTTGCCGGTTCCGCCGCCGTCTGTTCCTTCTTCTCTTCCTTGGCCTCCACCTTGGCCCCGTCCTTTGCCGGTACCGCCGCCGCCGCTCTACCTACCTGCTCCGCCGCCGCCTCAGTTTCGCGCTGTTAGAAGACCTTGCGTGAGTTCTTCTTTTTCGTACTAAATAATTATATTATAAGACAATGAAATATCCAGTGTTGTAAACAACTGTGGGCTGCGAGACTACTCCACCACCCAATAACAGAATGGATTACATGGGTATAAGTTCAGAGCCGTAAAGTGAGGCATCGCCGGCGCCATTGCTCTTGACAACCGCTTCGTTCGGTTTCATTCGTTGCTGCTTCTTCTTCCTGTTGAAACCAGTGACCGCGGTGGTAGTCACTACCGCGACTCGTGCAAACTTGGATAAAACCGTCATTTCGTACAGCAAGACTACAGTGATCCCTGGGTTGAAACAAAAGTGTCGTGTTGATTGTGAACAATATTAAAGGTGTGTAGTCGTGGTTTCGTCTCTTGATGTCAACATAACATCTTGAACTTGATCACGATAGATGAACAAGAAACAATAGAAGGAACAACAACAAGTACCAGTCCCCTCTTCAGTATCTTTTTCTTGGAAATCTGTGCACAAGAAGCTGTAGCCGAGAAGCTGGAGGAATGGGTCAGATGCTAGAAACATCGATGTCACGGTCAACTACATCAATGCAGATGAAGTAAAAGAAACAAGTCGAAAAATCTCAAATTTCCATCCCATCCCCTTTCATTCTTGTAACTGCTCATACATTCTAAACCAACATGTAGTTTCTTATGTATAAGTGGTCTGTGGTCACTTAATAATTACGAATGGATAAAACAGTATGCACTAGTTGAGGTAACATAGTAGACTTTAACACCGGTGGAGCACGCCTAAAAACTAGGAAACAAAAATACATAAAAAATTATTTTGAACTGAAAATTGGAAAAGTAGTGAAGATGCGAACCTTAGAAAGTGACAAAATATGCCTTCCTTGTTGATCTACGTAGGTACGAATCAATACAAAAATTACCCTTCTTTGATGTTCGAAGTGCTACCGCAAATAGTTCTCGAGGTTCTTGATGTAGTTGAAGTTGTCCTCGTAATGAGTTGTCCTTATAATGATCTCGGTCGTCTTGATGTTCGTGAAGTCCTTTATAATCTCGTAGTTCTTGATGAAATGCCTAGTCTCGTGCTTGATGTTGAATCTGTCCGCAGTCTCGTTCTTGACGTTCTGGAAAGTGCCTATTGTTGATCCTTGATGTCTAAGATGATCTTGGGAATCCTTATCGGTGTTGCTAGACTGTTCTTGTTGCTAGATTGACGTTCTTGATGTTGATAGACTACTGCCGTGGTGTTGTTTCAATTTAATCGAATTAATTATTTTCAACGTATTTTATTGATAAAAAAAGTAGTTTTCTACATGAGAGCTACTCCAGCTCTATCTTGTTCTATGAGCAGAATGACTTTAGGAGTCGAGCTCTAATAAGTCTAGGGGACTGAAGAGCAAACTCGGGACACGTAGAAAGCTACCTGCAAAGGGATTTTCAAGGAGAGTTTCGAGGAGAAGGAGATCGTTGGTAATGGTATCTTTCGTCTACTTTTACTTACTTGCTCATCAACATTTTTGCTATTCTTGTTCAAGAGCAGAAAACTCATCTTTATCAGTGAAAAATAGAGATCTGTTTTTTAGTTTCAAAGTGAAAGGATGAGAGAGTATGTTTTGGTAGTTGGAATACCATGATCACAATTCGACGCGAACGAGAACCGATGTCATGTACAGGAGAAGAAACAGATCACAAATCTCTGCTCTTGAATGATGTCGAGAATAGAACTTCTATTGTTCTTGTAAAGTGTAAAATAAGCCGACTCGTCATCTCGTCCAAATGACACCATACTTTCTTCTCACGACAGAAATATTAATTGTTCTCCTTTCTCACACTCACGACAGAAAATTCGATGCTTTCTGCTCTCCACAGACTCTGAGAGGACGCCAATATTAGTCGACGTTTCACACTCGTCACTCGTTTTCACACTCGTCACTCGTCATTAGAACACAACAACAAGCGTGAACATAGCAACAAATAAGAAGAACGCGCACACGGACACGGCTCATCATCAGTCTCAGTGCAGCTCAAATAAGTAATTTTTCGCACAGGTGAAAATGTCAACAACAGTGCTGGATCGATGTCAACATAAAAATGATCACGATGAATCTTCATGCTCATGAGAAGAAATCATCGTAATCTCTATCATGGCAGAAGATTATCGTTGTCGTCGTTCTCGAATTCGAAGAATGCTGCTCTACTTTCTTGTATAAAGTAGTCCTCAAGAGTTGCACAGTCAAATATGTTGCACTACAACTACTGTGTTTTGAACTATTTTTGCTATTCAACTCCTCATGCAACAAATCCAATATCGGACAAACGCCCCCTCATCTTATCTATGTGGTTGATTTTGAATAACAACTAAGTACTCAACTCCTCCCGCAAAAAACCTATGTATATTACAATTGAACAATAAGCACCCCCTCTCATGTCTTTGTCCGACAACTATTCAACTCCCGCAGCAAATCTATCGGACAAATGCCTGCTTTTATGTCGGCCTCTTTTAGAGGTAGTCTTTCACTATCCCTGGTCGAGTGAGTTGCCCCTTTATTCCGCCTCAATTTTCCCCTTCAGCTCAGGGGGGATTTCACTCAGTATAGTCCACTTGGGATAGTGATAAACTACCCTTAATTCTGTGATCGGATTGGATCGCTTCATCATTTCGCCCACTGCAACTGTAACTGGATCCTGTACCCCCATAGACGCTACTGCGCGGACTGTGCCATCTACACAGTAATAAGCAATGAAATTTGGAAGCCCATCTTCTCCAGCGAGGAGAGGACGTTCGCTCTGTCGGACGTCGATCGCTTCATCTGATGTCGTAGCAGTGAATGCTGCCACTCATTGAGAGCGTCGACATGGGAACGTCGTTCCCCTTCTTTGGGCCCTTCTTTTTTAGGTGGATTGAACGACATTCCCCTCTAAAAACTTGGATTCTCAATGAGTGGCATCATACAAGCAGGTGGAAGCTCGTCGCTTAGCATCGACGTACTAGAAATGACACTCCAGGTAGCTCCTCCGTAGTTTTTAGCTTCAGTAGTTTGTTGTTGTTCAGACCTCCTCGTGCTAGGACTACTTGTACTTCTTTTGCTACCAGACATTAGTATAATGCGCACACGCGACCTTTCCTCCGCTGAAATTAGAAGGGTAGTTGTCTTCTTTCTTGTGGTACTTATTCATCTTGATCTTCGAGGTAGACTACTTGGAACATCTTTCTTTGAAAATTGTTGTATTCCCAAGTATTATTATTATTAGGAGAAGGATAGACGGTTATCCACAGACCTACAGACGGCCCGGTGGGCGGAATCTGAAGCACAGCGACGCGTTAGGCAAATACAGGAGAGTCCTAACAGGAGGCGCCGCGGTCCGGGTGCGTTTGCCGGTGCCGTCATGGTAAGTAAGAAGAAGCCAGAGACCTCGAACCAACACCGAAAAAGGGTAAGCAGGTGCAGCGGTGAAAAAAGCAGAGAAACATCGTCAGGGGCATTTAGTCGAAAGCCGGTGCGCCGCGCCAAGGCAGCCCCAAAGCGCCGGACCTCCCCGCGGCGAGCCGCGTCGTAGTGTGGAGCGAGAGCTCAACGACAGCAGCAGGCCAGCACTTACTAAGTGCGCGGGAAGGGAGCAGCGACACTCCTGCACAGTGCCGCCGCTCGCTCGTATAGTTTCCGAAAAGCCAATGCATCACTGACCGCAACCCACAGTCCCGTAGAATGAAATAGCAGAGAGGTAAGCCGCAAAAAGAGGAAAAGCCAAACCAGTCAAAGCGAGGCACCGCACCACCGAAAGGCCGGAAACCTAGACAACAGCGAGACCATCCCCGAAGAGGTCGTCGTAGTGCTCCACCCAAGCAGCGCGCTCAACTACATGCGCGCAGCGAACGAGGTCCGCGAGTGCCTCAGTTGTACGTAACTGCGTGACATCCGCGCAGAACTTCCCGAAGAAGTGGCGAGGCGTGTCCTGTTCACCACAGTAGCAGGCCACAGGCTCCAGACCGAAGGGGCCAGCGTGTTTGAAGCGCGACCCAGACAGTAACTCGGCGGCAAAGGTCTGCACCTCTCGGGGGCAGCGAGCCTCCAACGGCGCAAGCGCCCCAGCCCCATCCGGTTCCGCAGAGACATCAGAGGGATCCTGGCAGAGCCGTAAGAACAACGCCCGCGCAGACGAGCGGGATAGCTGCAGCGCAGCAAGAACGTCGCCACTAGCACTGTCATGCTGGTGGTCCAAGGTGACAAGCAGTCGGTGCTCCTCGGCGGCAAGCAAGACCTTAATCGCCCCTTTGACGTTCACAGAGGAGAGAAGCGGAGGAGTGCACCCAGCAGCAGGAGCGTACTTGAGGAGGGCCCCAGCAGCAACGTCAGCCACGTCGTTGACCGGGTTCCCGATGTGCGACGGAGTCCAGTGGACAGCAGCGGTATCGTACACCGCACAGCAACGCGCGAAGAGGTCCAGCAGCTCGTGCTCAGACGCGCAAGACCGCTCATGCCCAAGGTGCCGGTTGGCCAGGAGTTGCCCGCTTCCCAGGCAGTCGAACACCCAGAGCAAGGAGCGCGGCCCGAGGGCCAGCGGGTCAGCGGAGTCACGAGAAGCAGCGAGGAGAGCCTGCCGAAAACCACGCGCAGCAGCAGCAATTTCCATGTGCCAAGCACTGAGCGCACCGTTGACAGCGACGCAAGCAAGCTCAGAAGGGAGCGTCGAATCCTGACCGGAAGAGGGAACCCCGCGACCGACTATGAGAGCAGCGTGCGCACCGTAAGGAGTTCCCGGGAGGTGTGCGCCATCCGTAGCCAGAATCGTCGTGACGTCTCCGAGCTGAGGCGGGAGAATCCCATCAAGGTGGAAGACAACCGGACGGGAGTGAACCGAGGAGCGGAAAGGCCGCAGGGGCGTTATGCGATTGGGTGACCAGCCAATACCACGCAAAAGCTGAGCGCCGACAGCTGTCCAAGCCGCAGGGAGCCGCCGGGTTTGGTTATCGGAGAGCTCCGGCGCCATGGTGTGCGCCAGTGGTCGGGCAGTCGTGGCCGGAGTTGTAACCCAAACGTGCGCACGAGAGACAGCAGGGGCAACAGAGGCGCCACACCAGATGGCTCCACGACACGCGGCGGAGGCATAGTGGTTGTCCGCGAGATTACCTAATGCGGCGACAACAGCGGCACGCGCGCAGCCGCTGGCCAAGGGGTGCGAGACCGGTTCGTTCCAGGAGACCGGGTGAGTGTCAGCGGGAGACCCCAACACGTGAGTAGGGCGAAGCCAAGCGTGTCGCGTCAGCAGCGAAGACCGGAAACTTGTAGAAGGACCACGTAAGACGCTATCCAGGAAGGTGGCCGCCCGTTGCTGGTACAAGTTGAGGTAAGAGGAGAGGCCAGAGAGGGTGTACAGGGCCTCGCGTCGGACAGTGCGGGAAACACCAAGGACCAAGCGCGCCGCCACATGACCGATCCGGACGCCGTACCTCCGCGCCGCACGTTGGTCGACATACGGGCCGATCGCGACGATACCGAAGCAAGCAACGTGATGCAATAAGGCACACGCCGTATGTGCTAAGATGGCAGTGCTGAGGCCCCAGGAGGAGGATGCCAGCCGGCGCAGCACCTGCACGCGTCGCTGACACTTCGACACAACGTACTCGAGGTGGTCAGTGAAGGTGAAGCCGGGGTCGATGAGAACGCCAAGCACTCGCAGAGATCGGACCGTAGTAGCGCCACCGAGGTCAAGGAGCCCATCGGCACCCCAGTCAGCGTCCACTTCCGCTCGTCTAGGGGGATTCGATCCAGGGAGACGGTCGTCTTGCGGTCGCCGATGAGGGCGCTCAGGAAGGTTCAACCAGAGACATTCACACTTACTCCGTTCGAGCTTGAGCTTTCGCGTTTCCAGGAGCTGAGAGAGCCGAGTGAGGGCATGCCGCGCGCGTGTAGCGACCTCAGCTCGAGTGGCACCCAAAACGTGGAGCGTACCGTCGTCACTGTAGAAGCGAAGATAGGTCCCAGGAAGTTGGTTGAGCTGAGCGGAGAAGCCGCGCACCATTAAGTTCCACAAGAACAGACTTAAGATGCCCCCTTGCGGGATGCCACGATGGAGGCGGTAGCAAGTGGAGACACCAGGGCCAAGGCGTACCCGAAAGCGCCGATCAAGCCATAACGCAACGAAGCGAGTGATCGCCGGCTCCAGGGTAAGCGTGGCGCCCAACCTGTTCAGCAGCGTGGAGTGGTCCACCGAGTCGAAGGCGCCCTGGATGTCCGTGCCAATAATGGCCCGCTCTTTGTCGCCGTTTGTCGTTGCGCGATCAAAAAGCTCTACAAGCAGCTGCTCGCAGTTGCGCCCTGGGGCGTAGGCGTACTGGTGTGGGTCTTCTTCAAAACCCGTCTCCTCAATGCGCGACAGTACAACCCGTTCCAGGATTTTCGTGAGCGAGTTAGTCAAGGTGATCGGCCTCCAAGATTTGAACTGCGTCAGGTCACGGCCGGGCTTTGCCAAGAACACGATGACGGAGTCAGTGAAAGTGGGCGGCAGCGCACCAGCATCCAAGACGACTGAAAAGAGGAGTGCAAGGCATCGTATAACGGCGGGGTCACGGTATGCTGCTGACGTCCATCCATCAGGACCAGGCGCGCGAGCAGCGTCAACTGCAGAGACCGCCCGTCTGACCTCGTCCTCCGTGACTTTCCGCACGAGTCGCACCCCTGGAAAGACCCGAGCACCAGTTTGACCCTGAGCGCCGTCAGGTGGGGGCATTGAGAACTTGTCCCTGTAGGCTCTACCCAGCGCATTGGCCTTATCTTCGGGGCTGTGATGCCATGCACCATGCAAGAACAGCGGCTTGGTAAGGCCCTCGTCACGATTCCAGCCAGAGCGCCCGTCTTCCTTCGCTATGTATCGCCACAGGCCCGTGAGGTCATCCCAGTTGCGGGAGGAGAGGTAGCGCCGCCACCCATCTCGCCGTATCCGGGTGGCCAGAGTTCGCGCACGGTGAAGCTCTCCTCGGTCCCGTGCACGCTTGAAGTCGTTGATTGACGGATGCCACGCATAGCGGCGGTCAAAGTCACCACTGAGTCCGTCTGGGCCTCTGGCAGTCGGTCTCCAGATGCGACACTCAGAGTAAGCGGCCCGGAGGACGGTGTCTAGCCGGGCAGTCATCTCCTCACCATCCATCTGCTCTAAGTCCGCAGTTTGGGCGTCAGGGGCCGAGCCGAGTGCATGCCGGAGGTAGTCCTGGGCCCGCTGCAACCTCGCCCCGGTGAGAAGGCGGAGGTCGTGCCGCGGCTGATCGTTGCGCGCTGCATCGTGCCCACGCGCGGCACAATGGGCATGGAGGTCAACAGAGAGAGGGAGGATCCGAGACGACACTTCGTAAGGCTTCCGCGGGCATCTCCGCTCCATCAGTCATGTACATGTCGGGGAAGAGGCAAGCGCCAGTGGGTGCCGGGCGGTAGAGGATCACATCTGGACAACTCTGCGGCTGACGCGCTGGATAGGTGCGGAGGTTTGGCCCACTGAGGCGCCACAGCGTGCCCTCATCATGCCAGCGCTCGAGCCAGGGTTTTCGCTCAGCATTGAGGTCACCAAGGAGAAGCGCAGCAGAGGACCCAGGTAGAAGCGCATCCCGCTCCACGCGGGTCAAGTCACGGACGCAGGGGGAGACGTACGCGACGGTAACTAAGAGTTCCTGCCAACCATCCACGGTCGGGATGAGAAGCGTCCGCGATGCAGCCTCGACTAGTGCGGGTAGTCGAGCTACTTTCCGAAAGCCGGTATGAGGGCTAACCACGAGGTGTCTTGAGCGTCCAAGCAGAAGGACACCGCCCCCGTGGTGATTCCGCAGACTGTGCGCAAGCACCTCATATCCATATTTTCCGAATTGCCGTACGAGCAGCGGCAGATCGGCGTCCTCAAGGTGGACCTCCGTGAGGCCTGCGATGTCAACGTCCCAGTGAACCAGCGCGCGGAGGACTTCGCTGGTCTTGTTTCGCAGGCCCCGTACGTTCCATGTCACAGCCCGAAGGCCCAAAGCCGTGACATCTTCGGTGTCGTCTCAGGGCAAGTCGTCATCACCCCAGGGGGTGGCGTCACCGCCGGCGAATTCCGCCGACTGGGACTGGGATGGCGGTGTATCCGGCAGGACTTCAACCGATTGGGAGGAGGCGCCGTCCAGCGTGAGGAGCGAAGGCGTCCCCTCTCCCTTCTCGCGAGAGCAAGGCGCACGTGGGAGACGCATGGCGCATCTAGCATCGGTAGGCGCCGCAGCTTCAGGCAGCACACCTTTTCCAGCTAGGCGAGGAGGAGGGCCAGACGGTGGACCCATACCGCCCTTGATCGAGGTGCTACCTGTTGAGCGCATCCCAGGAAGAGGCCCCGGCGAGGGACGAGAGACACCGGGGTCAGGCTGTAGGGCATCCCGCACTTCGCGCGTGAGGACGTCCTCGAATCCATATTCCAGGCCGGTGCGCAGCGCCAGAGGGCGCCCCTCACTGAGCCGGCGGAAGAGTCGGTCGGGGCGATCCAGGCACTCGGTCACAAGGGCCGAGGTAATCCCTCTGCGGTTAAGCGTATGTAGCCAGTCAAGCTGTGACTGCCCTCCTTCAGCGGGACTAGTGCCTTTTCCCACGACAGAAAGAACCCACTGCGCGTCGCCTTCAGAGAGTGCGGGCCGGTTGTGCTTGCGCGCGAGGGTCGCGAGACTGTGCCCGAGTAGCTTCTGCAGAGCCGGCTCCCGCAGCCTGAACCTCGAGTAGAGGCGGAATCCGATCTCCATCACGTCGAGGTACGGCGGTAGATCACGAATCGCTTGGAGCACCTCCTCCTTACTGGCCTTTTCTGAGGCAGTGACCGGAGTCATCTTGCTTCCGGGGAGTTCCCCACAGTCACCCTCGCAAGTGTCACGAGGTGCCCCAGTGGCACTACTGCTCGGCAAGTCTCGGGCATGGAGCTCGGAGGAGGGAGGGGCAGTTTCAGCTTCACGCGCAAGGCGATCCAAGTACAGGCGCTTTCCCCTAGGAGTGATCGGGGCTCCTTTCCCGCTCCCCTTCGGCCAGCGTCGAGCCGGCGGAGGCGCGAGGGCCTCTCCCGCCGTAGGTAAGACCTCCTGTTGCTGCTCCCGCGGAGGCTTGACAGATGAAGACGCTTTTCCTAAGGAGCAGCCCAGCACCTTCTTCGCCGCTTTCTTCTCCAGGCCGAACTTCGCACGGAGGAGTTTCGCAACGGCCGCAGCGTGTTGAGGCTGTTCCACTCGGAGGTACTTCCAGACCTCGGACCGAGCAGGGCGCGGTTTGGTCTCGGAGGCACTCGTCGTCTCGTCGTTCGCGTCGCGTCGGGTGTCAGCAGGGACAGGATCCAACTCCCCAGCGCGGTGCAGTGAGCGAGGCTGACCTCTGCGGTGGTCAGGGGAGGGGTCGGCCCGAGGACGCGCCCCCCTGCGATCAGAGGGAGTGCTTGACGCTCGGCGCCGCCGCCGGGAATCGCTGCGGGATCGTACGCGGGCCTTTTCCCTGCCGGGTAGCCGTCGCGGAGGCCGATCGCCGTCTCGTGGTCCACGGTCAGGTGTGCCCGGTCGTAGCCTCTCCTCATCTCGACACCGCCGTCGGGGAGCACTCCGGGAGCAGGCACGTGTAACAGGCGTCAGAGAGCGTCTTCTGCGTCCTCGGCAACGACTCCGAGATCGCGAGTCACGCGCAGGACGATCTTGTTCATACAGGCGGAGCCCCCTTAGGTGTCTCGTCGGGCGGATGGTGTCGGACTGAGCAGGTCCTGCCGGAGCTGCCGGGAGACTCGTCTGCATGTGAGACATCCAGCTTTCCATAGGTGGCGCCCGCACCAAGGGAGCATGAGGAACCGTCGAAGCGGGGGTTGCTGGAGCCAAGGTAGGCGGAAGTGGTGGCGGAACTCCAGGAACCAGGAAGATCGGCGGCACCGGTAGAGGGAGGGTGGAGAAACCGTGCGGAAGCGGGGGCACGAGGGTCGGAGGCATGTTTGGACGAGACCACCACGGATGCCCCGTGGAGGCCCCCTGTAGCGGACCCCATGCATGGTGCAGCCCGCTGGACGGGTACGCATTCGGATCCATCGCGTTTTTCCGGGGAGACGAGCCAAGAGAGAGATCTACGATACCAGAGAAACAGGTGCGACCAAGAACAATACTAGGAAAAGAAGAGGAGAAAGGTACTAAGTGACTAAGTGTAACGAGGTGATGTGAAGGCTCTACTCAAAGGAGGCAGAGGAGGAAAAACCATGCATGCATTCTGTCGAGGTAGGGCGGAGATGTGTCACTTGCGAGCAGAACTCCAAACCACGGCGGCCACCCCGCAGAATCTGAAGGCGCAACTTCAGCGACTCTCCCCAGGAGTCATCTCTACCAGAAGAAAGGCTCAGAGGACAGAGGCACGCGTAGTCTCTCGCACAGAGGTTCTCGCGGACCCACTCAGAACAGACACGATTCTCCTCAACAGTAGCAGCTTCTTCTCTCAGAGAACAGACGATCATCCAGAGTAACTCTCACCAGAAGGCACTTCACCGTAGTACGACAGACGTGGGTATCTTCTCATCTCAAGGGCCGGAACGAAAAACATCGACCGAAAATGTACCCTACTTTTTTCGGTCGTCTTTTTTGGTACTCTCAAACACTGTGGACGAACTCCCTCGGAGCAGAATGGCGGTTCTCGTCACTCAAGGACAGACACATAAACGAGAGCAGAGCCTGCCCAGTGGCAATAATGATCACACAAGGCTCAAGACAGAGAGGGAAGCATCGCCGCAGGCACCAGGAAACGTGGACAGACGCTGTCGACCATGAAGCCGGGGTACTCTCAACGTCGACAGGACCCAGAGAGCGATAGGTCCCTGCGCAGCAACGGCCAAAGTATGGCTCCATTGGAGACCCTCCCAGCCAGGGAGGGGAGAAAGTATCGCACCGCAGTTCGCGGCACCAGACAGCTCGGCCGTACCGTTGCGGCAGTAAGCGTAAGGCATCCATGCCCCGACCCGTTAAGGGCATCGGAGTGCGCAGGTCATCTTTCGATGTTTCGCGCGTTAGTGTTGTCCCTATGGGACCCCGGTGACCAGCCGGGGTATTCCCAAGTAGACGGTAGTACTTCACCTTCTTAATCACAAAGATGATACTTCTTGTTTATGTCACAAACCAAGTTCTCATCAAGTATGTGGATTACGAAATACTACTACTACTACTCCCAGGTAGTCTTTGATACGTAATCAAAATGCTAGACATGGGAAAGAGGAACAACTATCGACACGACGACCCACCCAAGAACTCTTAACGAAATGTATCCCACGTACTTCAGTGTGCGCCCACATATAACGGTCCAGAAGAAGGGCACTACTTCACCACACTCTAGTGGTCGCAGATCCATCATGGATCGCGCAGCTAGACGACCATGTGACTGCGCGAAACCCCAATGTTCTATGCGTCTAGAATTAGTAGAGGGAGCTCAAAGCATTTCTTTCACTGCTTCCCTTCATTTCTTCAGAAAAATGTCTACTAGAAGGATAAAAGAGCAGCAAGATGTTGACTTCTTTGCTATAGAAATGAAACAAATATTATATTCATTGGAGAGCCTTAATAGAAGACGTGCTAGAGGAAGCAGGGTCTTTCGTAGCATCTTCCGTCGATGTTGGTGTCACAGTCGTCACCACGTCTCCTGCGGCAAAGACGTCACACTTGTTCGTTCGCAGGAGGGATTAGACAAATCCACCTCGGAGCGCATCCTGGTTGGACCTCTCTTTCCTTCTCCAAATGAGTGTCGCAGCACGGATGCTTCTCAACAAAATGACAGTGTGGATCTGGATAGTAGAAATCTACTACAACTAGTTAGTAGATGATGCTATTTATTGGATACTGACCGTAAAACGGATCTACCAAAATCGACTTATCCGACTGCGATATTCTGATGCCACTATGCTTTGTGAACTCAGTGTTTGGCAAAATTCCAGCACCTACGACTACGAGCTCGCAAGGAATGAACTCCTGATCGACGCTGACTGTCTGGGCTGTGCCTGTGCCACCTCTGGGACCGGCTCTTATCAAAACACCGCGAACCTCTGTGCCTTCACCTGGAGCAGAACCTGCACTTGGATTAGTAGAACTAATGCTCAGCATTTCAGGGAAGTTTCCAAAACTAGACTTGTACACTTAATATCACTGTGAGGTGTGTGAGGATACTTTGGTCTACACATACTAGGCTTGTACACTTATCACTGAGGATGCTTTGACAATGACAGTTGTAGCCTTAATCTGTAATAATTAAGCAGAGGATATTCTATGACTGTTTTTGAATGTGTGATAAGATAGAAGTAGAAGAAGAGGATCCTTTTTTGATAGTTGTGGCCTTAATCTTTGAGTCTGATTTTGGAACAAAGGCGCTGTGGATCAGGTCCTTATCGAAATCCGATACGATGCTCTCCACACGTCGCCGAGGCACATAGCGGATTCCTTTATCTTGTAGCAGACGTAAATATGAAAGGAAACAGTTGTGTACTACTCATACTCTTCAAGGAGACCCGCACGCAGTGGTCTTCCACTGAGATCGAGCAGCCTCATTTCATTATTCGGCGTCTGAGTAAACGAAAAACTGAAATAACCGAGTATCCCAGAGAGTAATCTTCTCAGATACTCGGTTATTCAAGTTAGCTACTCGGTTATTTTTACTTTTCGAGTACAATTCTCCTTGTCATAGTAGGATCGTGCGCCCCACGTCTTGTCCAAGCAACCTGCCAAACGGTACAACATCCGGGGCCACGACAGTCACGTCGCAACCCTTTCTCTGAAGCGACGAAGCGCACTCGATTCCGAATATTATAGGTGTGCGACTTTCCTTTACGTACAAGCAGTTAAGAGTTCTGCTCATTTCATTTATTTGGAAGAGATGCATGTAGTGATGCTACTTTCTGTACAAATGTTGAACCAAGCAATTGACTTCATTTTCGGCCTCCACATCGTCCTATACATAAGATAAACCCCGCACCCGCAATAACGACTTTTTTCAGGGTGTTAGTCGCTGTTTGGATGCGATCCGCATCTGCAGCTGTCCGTAATGGCATTGCCAAATGGCCATTGCGTTTAAAGACTCCTGGAGTGGAGCCATCACGCGCACGACCGCCAGTACATATCAAACATTTGTCGAATGCCAGAGTGTGAGTGTGTGCATTCTCCTCTACATTCACTTGTTTGGAAGGAGCGTCAGCAGCTTTTGCTTTGTCATCAGGTGTACTATCATCTCCTTTAGCAGCACAAGTACAACCAACACACCTCGTGGCCTCTCTTTCACCTCCGTCCTCGCCAAGAGCATCTGCATCATTAGAACTACCATAGATACATTAATGTTAATCCATCTTCAGCAGCATGATCTTCGGGTCAGGGTCCCTATTTCCCACCTTAAAATACGGCACCAAGATGTTCATGTTTAAGAATGTATGTTTAGCAGTAGTCCAATGTGGTCTCTGATCAAGTAACAGCAAGAGAAAGTGTTTAATAAGAAAAATTTTTTGTAGCCTTAACATCAGCAAGGGAATCTTGAAGACAAATTTTTTCTCCAGTATACGTGACGACTTTTCGGTCACAGTCGATCGACACAGCGGATCGATTCAGAGCCAAGTCCACGCCAAGCTCGTAACGATAAAAATCTGCATCACGCAATTCTAAATCGCGATAATTTCGACTCATATTTTTGCTCAGTTAGATCTTTCACTATGAATGTTGTGACAGACACAAGTCGTTGTATCTATGGGAGTGCTGAGTAATCTTCTTTTCCATTTCAACACTTCTTAATCTTAAATGCCTGATCTAGTACTTGATGACATCAGTTGTTACCTAGTGCTAGTAAAACTGCAAGTAAATAATATCTCTATCTTTCCTTAACTCAATACTGGGCGGTCGATTGGTGCATGAGGTTCTTCGGACAGCATGACTATTCTCCCGCGAAACCCACTGGCACGCAATTCTTCGCAAGCAGAAGCTGCACAACCGCCACCACCAATCAAAAGGAAAGTCCTTCGATCTGCTTCGTCGCGTGGTTCTCCATGACTCTGTCCATCTTCGACCACCAGCACGTCTCCTTTATTCATTGCTCTGCTTGGTGTTAAACTTCTTGAGGTTCTCGACGTCGCTTCCACTTGTTCAGACTTCCTGACCATTTTCGGTAGGACAAAATCAGGCTCATTCAATGTTGGGATGTCCACGTACACTGAGCCTTTATCCAGTACGACTTTGTAGACCGGGATGGCGTCGAGAACGGGGCCTCTGACGGGGCGACCGGTTCGCAAGTCGAACGCCGCATCGTGCCAGGGACAAGTCACTGTGGGGGTTGCGGCTGCTTCTCTACTCTACTTAGAGTGCGGTCTCTTTGATGTGCCTGCTGCTAAATTACTAGGCGGAGGTCTTTTTGCCTACAGTTTTTCCCCTATAATCCACCTTCAGCTCATGTAGCCCGTATGCGTAAATGCTGTATTTTCATTCATCTCACTCCTGAAGATAGTGATTGAGATTGATATTGACGCCAGTCATAATTTTACCCCCACCCGACGGCGCCTCTTGTAGCCCCGCATCCACGACGCCATGGTAGAGTGGCGCTGAGTAGTGACTACAGCTTGCACCCACGCAGTTTATCTTAGATGAGCACGCAGTGTTCCAGAAGAACAAAAGCCTTGTTCAGAGGAACAAAAGCCTTGTAGTTTTTAAGAGTGCTTTGTATATCTTCACGACTAATATCTTCACCTAGACCATATCACATAAATATCCTTCCCCCGACTCTTGCGATGGAGACGACAGTAGACTCATAGTTCGTTTGCGGAAATTCTAACCTATGAATCGTCCCCTCTTGGAACTCACAGGTTTGTCCAGCATACTTTAGCTCGCATGCGACTTCTCTGCCTCTTGTTTTGCCGGCGATGAATCCAATTCTTGTACTTCTTGACTGTGTTTTTGTTCTAAAAAAGAGGCGGCTGAATTCAATTGATGTATTTGTTCGCGAAAGGAGTTGGTGGAGTAGTCGCTTATGAAGATTTCCAACAGATGATGTGTTTGTTGTAATATTTTTCCCGTCTCTGTAATTACCGTATACGGACGTGGAGCCTCTCGCTATCGAGGGGCTTGAGCATAAGAGCCTTCTATCGATGAAAGAACCCCAAGGCCTCCTTCCGCCGACCTCGTCCTTCTGGTCCTCCTGGCCCAAGAAGTGTATGCCGCCACCGCATGTTAACAGTGTCGCTGAGGCAATTAGTGCCTGCGCAGGAGCATACTTGTGCTGATTTGGATTTCCTCGGGGTGGACCATGACTTTGATGTTTATGGAAAACAAGAAAATGATTGGTTTTGGTTTTGGTATTTTTAATATTTGTGAAATTGTTTATAAAGAAACGTCTTCTTGTCTTGTTGCTTTTGTAGAAACAGAAACGTAGCATTGTTACGTAACAACTTCATTTTTTGGAGGTTGAGATTGTCGTGCAAAATGTGAAGGAGTGGGAGGTGGCAACGACAAGCTCTTACTCATTATAGGCTGTGTCTATAATTCTACAATTCGCTCGTACTCATCCTAGGCTGATGCCATCCATGGGTGACCGATAAAACTCAAGTGCGCTTCGCACTTGCCTTTTGCTCTTCAAAAACCTATTGAATTTCATATACTCTAGCCTTTTCTCTATCCTCACTCGCTCTGAATATTTCCTCAGTCGTTCTTGCTCAGCGGCGATTGCAGCACAGCTTCGAGAAAGATCTTTTTAGCGGCTATCTTCACTTGAGATCCTCCTTTTGCTAGAAGCGACGTGATCCGCCCTTCGTCGTGGCGCAGCAGAAAATGCGAGAGGACACGACTGTCATAGTCACTCTCCCAACATGCTTTTTTAACGATTTTACACTAATTGTTGCATGTGCCATGTGGTGGGTCGCTTCGTCTATAAATATGTTGTAGAAGTAGAAGTACACATACACTTCATTCTGTCAGCTTCATGTCGGAACGGAAGTACTAGATGAGACAACGAGCGCGTCCCTCGACGAGGACCCCTGGCAGTTTTCTCGTAGTTCACCCTCAACGTGTCCCGTCCTGGTCCTCTTCTACAATACAGTATGACGAAAATTTGAAGCATCACCCATCTTCTACAATACTTTCTGACTTCTAAAGAAAGACTTTAAATCTTTTACCATGTACAAGTTTGCCAGACCCATCACTAGCATCATGAAAATGTTCAAGGAGATCAAGGTTCTCTGTGCTGACTCAACCATATTCTGAAAGGAATCCATCTGGTGACGGGGTTAGAGATGGTGCAGATGTTGTAGTAGTAGTTGTGTACCCAATCGTGGAGTATAGCCGCAGCACTACTGTATGCTGGATGATGGTATTTTGAATATGATGGTACTTTTGCAAAAAGTACAAGAGTATGGTATTTTGAATATAATGGAAGTACAAGAGTCCATGATGAGGATCATTGATTTGGTGTGTGAAGAGAGGAGAGTTAGAAGCAAACAAATTAATACTAGTAGCTATGCTTGGAAGAGAATGTCGTTCTTGTATAGTACTAGAACTTCTACGGCTTGATGATAATGAGAAAATCAAAATTCAGGTGCTGCTGTTTATAAGTCTAATGGGAAGATGTGAAGGAGACCTGCTGTGTAACTTGAAGCTGCCATAAGTTTCGTAGTCGTTTTCTGCAGCTAGAGAGTCCATGGCCGTCAACGTCTCTAGCATCAGCTTGTCGAGACTGCTAAATTGCTCTTGATTTTTAGAGCTAATATATCTTCCCTTTTATAGAATGCGTATGCGCTTGACGAGGGCTGCTCTCGGCCTAGTATTACTTTTTTACTATAGAGATCATCTTCATGGATCATAATTACAAGGGAAGCCTGTATATACGCTTGTTGAGAGCTCCGCGGTCCTACTATTCCAACTATACTGATTCATTGATTGATTGATTGATTGATTGATGTGCCTGGCATGAGGTCGAAGATCTGATTGAGGTTGCATTTGCAGTTGCAGGGTAATAAGCCTTAAGATTTACCAGTGTTGCAGGTAGTTCGAGCGCATCCTGGCGTTCGTCGACTTCGATTGCGAGAGACCACTTCAGCTTTGGCGCAGGTGCCCACCAACTGCTTTCACCACAAGTGATGGAAAACCTGAGACATGGTTGTACGAGGTATGTGAAGAAGATGATGAGGGAAGTTCAAATTCAAAGTATTTAGATTTACAATGAGAAGTACAACTAACAGGAGCCAGAACTAGAAGTACTACTTAATACGACAACTGCTTTTTTTCGTCTTTTTTGTGAAATCGAACAAAACGAATCATAATGCAGAGTAGAAGTTCTAATAGTATCCCATTAGATACAACTAACTTAGTTAAATTGTCAACCTACAACAACCTACAACCTGGACGAATCGGAAAGGAAAATACGTATGCTCTCCTTCTTCCTGCGTAAGATAAGTGACTCTGCCCGTCGATTCACTTTTATCTCCCGGCGCTACGTTCTTGGTCTTCTTCACCACCTCTTTGGGGTCCCTGAATTCCAGTCGGCAATTCGTCGTCCTTTCTTCGGAGACGGTGTAGGAGATGTTGGAGCAGCTCAGTGTGTACTTTCATTTTTCATTTCATTCATTTACCTGTTCTGGAGGTATCTTTCGACGCTTAAGGTTAAGCGCTTTTTTAACTTAATTATTGCTTGTTGTGACTAGAATTACTTGCTTTGCGCCAGCACATGCACATCTTGAAAATGAAATCTATCTAAGCACATCTAGTTACTTGACAACTAGAAGCATTGTTCTATTGAGAATATATAATATGCTTCAGTAGTTGTTTTCACGAGAAGGGCATGACTCCTTCTCCTTGAGAAGAAGATGGTGCTGTCGAGCATCTTCGCTTCTAAGCACGTCGCCTGTTATATTTTTATGCCAAATATGGGATCATAAACACGGACATCACTTGATGCTGCGCTACCATCCGGACAAAGGTTCGAGACTGCCCTTCGGAAAGAAACGATTAGAGAATCGAGATGGAGATGAGGATTATTCACATTTATTTATACTAGAGTAACTTATAGGGGTGCCAGATCCGCCGGGATGGGATGGTTCGGATGGATCGGATGGACTTCCCACCATTTCAAGTAGGATCGGAAGAATCAGGCGGGTCCATCCGATCCATCCAAGTCCATCCTACATCCGTTCTATAAACTACCCTATTATACTTACGTTTCTTTCTCTTCATCCCTACTACCCTAAGAACATCGATTAAGGAAACCTTGCTCTAGCCGCATCCATAATAGAAGTAAGCTGCATCGGCACAAAGCGGAAAAAGACTCAAACACAGGCTTCGGCTCGCAAGCGCTCGTCCTCCTCGTCGTCGCACTCGTTTCTCCTCACGTGGTCGAGAGTGAGTCGCTTTTGTCCCACAACGACTAGATGAAGTAGAGCAGTAGGAAACCTCCATTTCAGCAGGACTTCTTCGTCAAGATCTGAATTTTTAGAAGTCAGACTAGAGCTAGAGTCTCTCCCATGCCCATCGGGGGACTCAGTATCATATACTACCCCTATCTACTGACCTTAGTTGAGCGAAAGATTTCTGAGTAGATTGACGGGATTCTTTACTCACAATATTGCCGTTTCAAAATGCCACGCTCTTCTCTTTCATCTTGTGTTCTCTGGTTTCTTCTGCTCTCTGAAGAAATAGAAAAGTGCCTTGAGTTGAAGCCTCCAATAGCTGAATTGATACTGATCAGCTGTCTTGCATCGCGCGTCAGCGGAATGCAGTACGAACACACGCTATTCCAAGCGACCATGGACCACGTTTCTACACTTGCACCTCTAGCAGCAGGCACAGTACGTTTTTCCAGATCACATCATCAAGAAAACGAAATACCCTTAGCGTTGTTCTTGCACTACATCATACTTTATTTCGTCAGATTGGTTCAGTCGAAGAATCGAAGTTGTAGGTAAGCAAGAGATCTGTAGATTCGCGTTCTCTTCCATAAATGATCCCTAAAGAAAGAATCTATCTAATTCTTAATGCGAAAAAAAACATGTTAGTTTGTTGATATTGGAAATCATTTCTACGAGGAAAGTCTGTTGCTGTTGGTGTGATAATTCCCCTTGCGTGGTGAAGATGTTGCAGTAAGTTGTTCAGGTATCTCAATCATTAAATGTTATCAGTTTTAGACCCAATCGCTAGTTGTTTTGGTTTAAATATTGTTAGAGACAATAGACTATCACCATCTGTTTGAATAGCATCAGTAATATATTAATTATACGTCGGATAAAAACTCAACATCGTCATCCGTACTTGGTGTCCCATTAATGAGAGTACAGTAGAGGTCTTTCAGTATTTGCCAATATTCAAGTTGTACATTGATTTTTCCCAATAAAAAATCATTGATCAATGCGATAAAGCCGAAAAAACAATTTAGTCGTGTCGTCCAGGAATTTCTTTGAATTCATCTTCTTCTTTGATGTAAACACGAGCTAGGAAACTTCTACAACGTATACATTTGTTCTCGTCGCTGTGTCTACCTGTTGCAGATTGCGAGTAACTAGTTGTTCATCACCTCGAATAGAGCGTGGCTGCATTTCCTAGTCGCTCACGACCAACCACTGCAACAAACGACGTTAACGTTTGTCCTAGCTGTTCGTCACCACTCCGAACCACACGACAGCATTACGATTACATTCTCCTTAGTTGTTCGTCACCGCTCCCACAGCGTTGCACTGGGTCCGAAAGACCTTGTCATCCATGGTCTGAACTTCGAAATCTGTATTGTTGTAGGCCACCACGCCGATAGCCAGGATCTTTTCACTCTCGTAGACGATGGACTTGCCCGCCTCACGCATGTGAAAGACTTGTTGAGCACCAGAACTCGACTTCTTCAGGAAAACGATTTGAATCTGTATATTGGAGGTGGGAGGAAGAGTTTTGATGTTAGGTGCGTGATTTGAATCTGTATATTGGAGGTGGGAGGAAGAGTTTTGATGTTGGGTGGGTGATTTGAATCCTAGGGCACGGAAGATGAGGCAATCGCTTTATTTTTCAAGGGAGGAGGAAAGAGGGCGGTGCAGAGAAACAGATTGTTTGGGAGGCTATCGTGGTTTGATGAGGATAGGCCAGTAATTCATTAGACGTAAGAAAAATTAATCGATTATGCGGTTATTCCATCCACATAGCTCGTCAGGAAATGAATTCATTAAAAAGGAGATAAAATAAAAAATTTATGGATTTCTGAACTTCGAATTCAAAAATGACACTCTAAATTTTGAATTTTTTGCCCTCAGACTAACCTGTGTACTTACATGTAGCTCACTAGGAAATGAATTCATTAGAAAGGAGATAAAATCAAAATTTTATGGATTTGTGAACTTCAAAGTCAAAATCAACACTCTAAATTTCGAAATTTCTGCACCCATGCTAACCTGTGTACTCTTACATGTAGCTCACCAGGAAATAATCCATTAAAAAGAAGATAAAATCGAAATTTTATCAAGTTGGAAACTTCAAATTCAAAACTGATACTCTAAATTTCGAAATTTCTGCACTCAGCCTAGCCTAAACTGTCAGTATGTGACTCATTAGAAAAACAAGTCCTCAGAAAAGTAGAAATACCGGCATCTGCTCGACGTGCTGCAGAATGGTGATCTTGTTGAACTTGAAGGGTGACTTTTTCAGCGTGCTGATATATCCGGAGAGGTTAGAGTATGTTGGGCGGGGGCTTGAAAGGACTGCAAGGTAGGAGTGAGTAACCACGTTGAAAATCAGTTTCCGTACAACACGGTGCCATTACAACAATACTTCATCTCTCTCACCTACTGAAAATGAATGTTGCTTAGAAGTTTAGTAGATGGCCACCATCACCATCAGTTTTTACTTTTACCACACTCTTGGTCTAAAATTTACTTTAAAATATCAGCATCAATTTTCTCATAACTATATGCTTGTAGTAGGTTCCTTTGTTGTTGGCGTTCTTCCCCATTTCGGTCCGGCCTCCATTCTGCGTGAATTTGAACCCCGCAACCTTCCCTGGTGCTTCTTCCCCCTCGGCTAAGCCGTAGCCCATCCACAAAATAGCGTTAACGGGCGTATTATGGGCCCAATGCATGTACACGGTACCTGAGAAGTGGTAAATATTGAGGTAAAGGTTATTTTAGTACACGAGGACTACATGAGCGCTGGTCGACACATGTAGACCTAGACGGAAAGATGAAAGCAACTCTGTTCATACCAAGTGCATCTTCCTTGTAACACAGGTAGCATCCAGTTCCGCAGTCTTTGACGCCGTCCGTTATCCCATTATCGGCCTTACCGCGTACGCCAGAGGCTTTCATGTTAGAGCGCAAAACAATTGATTTCTTGCGTACATTAACATTTCTTGCAATTGATTCTGGGAAAGAAACAGCAAGAAAGGACTTGTAGAAATGAATAATTGCAATTTCTGAGAAAGAAACAGCAAGAAATGACTTGTAGAAATGAATTATGATTGCATTGAGTCTTAATCATGGACTGCATCGACGCGTTGGAAAAACCCATAGACATATTCGATTGCTCAGAAGCTGGGACATCAAGCTTAGCTCCAGTGGGAGAGTTAGAGATTGGGCTTGGTCAATAACTGGTAAGCGTGAGAGAAGAGCCGGGTTCTTCTTGGTCAATAACTATGATGTCTTCATAGGAATGCCCCTGAGCGATATTAATAATATGGCCGTTCGTATCCACCGCAGTAGAGACAACTTCGATAACTACTCTATAATTGGTTCATTTTGAAGGCAAAGCATCTTTGACGAGTTGGTTCTTGTTTCCCTAAAAAACAAAAGGAGGACAAAGAACTTTCCATTCCAAGAAGTCTAGACTATGCGATGCTCTGCGCCCTCAGGAGACAATTTTGCTCCTTCTCAAGAATCTTTATTAATGATGAGACTTACCTAGGACTTTTCAAAGTCAGTATTTCTATAATGGAGTCAGAATGTAGAGAGGACCACTTCCAAAATCAAGGGGACTACTTACATTTTCAAGTACAACTGCTCCTAGCCGTAAGAGAAGGCATCGCTGCATCAGGGTGCTCAACAGCTACGTGCATGGACCCATGAGGGGACTCGACGCCAGCAGGCTCACGTCTGGAGGACTGTCGCTTAGAGGATTCGCGTTTGGTGTTTGCGTTATCATCCACCACAGTCGACGAGGATGGCACAGTCGACGAGGATGATCGAGTGGACGATCTCTCCGATGAATCGCGAACAACTTCCGACATTTTGAAGTATGATGTAAGTACTTCTCAAGTGCACGTTGTAGTGGGAAGACGAAGATGTGTTATAATTAATTGATTTTTAACCATTGATTTATATTTAAGGAGATGTTATTATTTTCCAAGACTGAGGATTTCTTCGAAAAAAACTAAACTGAGCAAATCGAAAGTTGTTTTTCAAGGATTTGTTTACAAACAAATATGGAGACGGGAAAATCCTGGACAAAACCACACTCGGGCGCTGCAATAAAAAGAGTGTTCGCAGTAATCTATTATTAAGCTATAATTTTTCATCTTTCTAAGGTGCAAAAACTGTAGCGCGCGCGCGCGCGTTACGCGCGCGGGTTACGCGCGCGCGCGCGTTACGCGCGCGCGTTATAACGCGTTACGCGCGCGCGCGTTACGCGCGAAATAAGGCGCGCACGTTACATGCGCGCGGCGCGCGCGCGTAACGCGCGCG